CAACTTTCAGTTCAATCGGCCCAGCAGAACTTGACTTTAAGTTTGAAATGTAAAATGTTAACGGACGACGGACGACGGACGACGGACGACGGACGACGGACGACGACGGACGAAAACGGATAGCAATAGGTCACTTGAGCTAAAGCTCAGGTGACCTAAAAACATGGTTGTGATCAATCAAACTATTCGAAGAACAGGGGGTATAATGAGTAATGTGAGATCAAGAAAATAGGGTTTTACTGTACACATGTATATAAATTAAACTGAATGCATTAAAATTTCTTGCATATATATATATCTTCACATCAGAATCAAATTATACAGTTCTTTAGAGGTAGAAAATTTAAAAAGAACTTGTACCTGTTTTGATATTAAACTCCTCACAAGTTTTCAATTTCATACGAAACTTTCCAAATCCTCCTAACAGTATGAGGGAATCGCCGACACAGATCATGGTGTGGTGTCGGCGTGGTGACTGGAGCTGGGTCACACTCTCCCACACACAAGTAAACGTGTCAAGTTTCCAAACGTCCAGCAGCCATCTGTTTCTGCCAGGGCCCAGAGATGTCAGACCTCCACTCACATATATGTCCTTACCTGAGCAGATAAGACAGTATTATACAATGAGAACTGGTAATTTACAGCAATCACAGCGATAAAAGCTTGTTATTCATAAATATCCAATATTTTGGCATGCTTGAATTGCCTGTGCCCCTTTTTTCCCCCATCAATGCACATATCAGAGAAACTAACTTAAAGGCAAAAACTTAATGTTAATGGAGATGCTGACAAAGTCAATGGACCATGAAACGTAGGCCGCATCCAGCATTTGATGCATGGGTTAAAATGTACTACCTTAGATGCATCTATGGTCCAAGTTTGGTTGACCTGTAGCCCTTATACTTTCAGAGAAACTAACTTAAACACAAACAAGAGGCCCATGGGCCTTAACGGTCACCTGATATATTTATACAGAGAGTTGATTTCGTTTTTAACATGAACAGAAATATTATTCAAAGTGACAAAAAACAATAAAACCACCTTATTCAATATCAAGCATACAGATTTCAGACTAAAAAGGATTTGAAACTAGCACCTCTGATTCTAAACAAGGAAAATGAAGAAATTTTAGCACACTGACTCCCTTGAGCCCCACCCTACAGCCCTTGGGGGTAGGGCTGGCTCAAAATTTTCAAAGTATCAAACTGTCAACTCAAGGTTATAATTCCAATCAAGTTATTAACATGTAATATTCGAAGTATCATTTGCCATTATAAACCATAATAATTTTTTTTTAAAATTTCAGTAAATTCGTCCCTTTTTGGCCCCACCCATCAGCCCCTGGGGGTCAGTCAGGGCTCATAGGTGCATACTATCAAACTGCTACCTAATACTGATAATGCTAACCCAAATTGAATTATTTCCAATGGAAATTAAACAAATGTTGGTCCAAAATGTGATTTCCCTATATAAACTATAGTAAAGTTTACCCCCTCCTCAGGGGGAAACGTGAGACCCCAGGGTCAAGAAATTCACAATTTCGGTAAAACACCTTAAGACCCTTCCATCTAGGAAGAGAATTTGATTCTACCATATCACGGTCTTGAGAAGAAGATTTTTGAAATTTCAGTCAATTCAACCCTTTTCGGCCCCACCCATCAGCCCCTGGGGGTCAGTCAGGGCTCATAGGTGAATACTATCAAACTGCTACCTAATACTTCTATGGTCCAAGTTTGGTTGACCTGTAGCCCTTATACTTTCAGAGAAACTAACTTAAACACAACCAAGAGGCCCATGGGCCTTAACGGTCATCTGATATATTTATACAGAGAGTTGATTTCGTTTTTAACATGAACAGAAATATTATTCAAAGTGACAAAAAACAATAAAACCACCTTATTCAATATCAAGCATACAGATTTCAGACTAAAAAGGATTTGAAACTAGCACCTCTGATTCTAAACAAGGAAAATGAAGAAATTTTAGCACACTGACTCCCTTGAGCCCCACCCTACAGCCCTTGGGGGTAGGGCTGGCTCAAAATTTTCAAAGTATCAAACTGTCAACTCAAGGTTATAATTCCAATCAAGTTATTAACATGTAATATTCGAAGTATCATTTGCCATTATAAACCATAATAAATTTTGCCCCCCCCCCACTCCTTCCCCAGGGGGTAAACATGAGACCCTAGGGTCATAAACCTTAAGACCCTTCCATCTATGAAGAGAATTTGATTCTACCATATCACAGTCTTGAGAAGAAGATTTTGAAATTTCAGTCAATTCAACCCTTTTTGGCCCCACCCATCAGCCCCTGGGGGTCAGTCAGGGCTCATAGGTGCATACTATCAAACTGCTACCTAATACTGACAATTCTAACCCAAATTGAATTACTTCCAATGGAAATTAAACAAATGCTGGTCAAAAATGTGATTTCCCTATATAAACTATAGTAAAGTTTACCCCCTCCCCAGGGGGAAACGTGAGACCCCAGGGTCAAGAAATTCACAATTTCGGTAAAACACCTTAAGACCCTTCCATCTAGGAAGAGAATTTGATTCTACCATATCTGGGTCTTGAGAAGAAGATTTTTGAAATTTTAGTCAATTTGACCCCTTTTGGCCCCGCCCCTGAGGCCCCTGGGGGCGTAGGACTAAACCGGCAACTGTTTTTGGTGACCTTTGTCCATGGAAGGTCCCTGCAAAATTTCATTGCAATTGGTTCCGGGGTTTTGGAGAAGAAGATTTTTGAAATTTTAGTCAATTTGACCCCTTTTGGCCCCGCCCCTGAGGCCCCTGGGGGCGTAGGACTAAACCGGCAACTGTTTTTGGTGACCTTTGTCCATGGAAGGTCCCTGCAAAATTTCATTGCAATTGGTTCCGGGGTTTTGGAGAAGAAGATTTTTGAAATTTTAGTCAATTCAACCCTTTTTGGCCCCGCCCCTCAGGCCCCTGGGGGCGTAGGACTAAACCGGCAACTGTTTTTGGTGACCTTTGTCCATGGAAGGTCCCTGTAAAATTTCATTGAAATTGGTTCAGGGGTTTTGGAGAAGAAGTCGAAAATGTAAATTGTTTACGGACGCACGACGGATAAAAGGCGATCGCAATAGGACACTTGAGACTTTGTCTCAGGTGACCTAAAAACTTAATGCTGATGTCGTCGCCGGAAAAGCAACAATATATCGTATCGCAACACTTTCTTGTGTATCGTATCAAATTGTTTTGTTTGCCTGTATCGCGATACATTTACAGTACTTAAATTATCAATGGACTATTATCAAACTCTAAAAATGTGTACTTATATTTTTTTAATCCTTCAGTAAAGATGAGAGTCCACCGTGCAGTCACCAAAATATATCTGGATAATATTTACTTTTGAAGTCTAAGACAAAACTTGATAAAATGCGCTCAATCATCATGTAGTTGACATTTTAAGCAGATATTTGTATCCTGATATGCATCATATCGTAAGCCTCGTACGGCGATACTTATCGTATCGTGAGATGTGCGTACCTTTGCCACCCCAGTTATAACTAGACTATCACACACTAACCGTGAACACAGACACTGTAGCCCGTCTCCTGCTGTATAATGGATGGATGGTCTTGTTCGTCCATTGCAATACTCTCAAAGGTACAGGTTGTATCAATGTCACAGAGTTTAAGGATTTTTGGCTGGGGTTCGACATCTGGTTCATCATCAGAGGCGTAGATATCATCATAAGGGTCATCTTGTCCTCCTAGACTCCAAAGGCAGTACGGGACTTGGCGATATTTCTGAAATTATTTATATTACGTAGGTTATCGAAGAAAACTTTAAATGAAGCAAGTATATCCACTTACATTTCATATATTTTTTATATTTTTCAAATCACCTCACTATCTTGCTATTGTTTCCTTTCAAAATTGGAGAGAATTATTCCCAAGTAGTGATTAATACCTTGATCACTGTGCTATACTTACTAGGCAAGTTGTACACATAAAGCACAGGTATCTTGTATTGAGGTATTAAAGTGACCATAAAAAGTACCTTGAAGAAGACAATTACACTGTAGCAAAACATTCCTAAATTTTCATAAGTACATGCTTATTTTCTCTCCAAATACATGCACTAAAATTGTCATCTAAATCCCTAATTGTTCCCATACCTGTATCGCTGCTGCTGATGTATCAAAGTTTTCAAACATATGCTGATAGCCCTTCACAAGTGTTTTTTCTTTTAATGTGGAAATCTCCTCCTCTGTGAGAGCTTCCTTTCGAATCAAGGGCAGTAACTCTTCCAGATGCTTCTTCCTTTCTGCGATGTCATGTGATACCCATCTTTCTATGGCATCAAAAACTTTCATTTCAGATTTGACCACTAATTTTCTCTCCGACAGAATCTGACACAGGAGGTGTATATCTATGTCTACAAAATTTGACGTCTTTACAACCTCTGAAAAGTACCACAGACAGTGGCGTTTAGCTTTGTTGAAAAGTTCATCCAGTGCAAAGGTGTGCGTAAGTGATATGATTGCCAGACAGTTGTCGTCACTCAGCAAGTCATACATTAGGTCACAGCACTCATCAACCACAAGCTTTATCTGAAAAACAGAAACAAAACTGTGACACATAATCGTTCAATCTGAACGGTTTCTTTCTTCTAAATGTGCACTGAATCAAGTGCATACATAGGAAAATTATCTGTATCTGGAGATGGTGACAAAAAGTAACGACATGATTTAACTTAATTGAAAAAAAGGAAATAGCACTATTCTAAATAGATATAGAAATTGCACCTTTAAAGGTTGGCACTACCCCCTCTTTGAGGACAGGAGATACACCATTCTCAATATATATATATTCACTTCCGCTCTTTGCACCCCTGGAATATGTCGTAGACAAATTGATAGATCAGTGGGTGTCACCTTGTGGATGAGACAAGAAGACTAGTTTGATCCTTGATGTACATCAAAAGATTCTCGCAGTCGCGTAACAGCCTAACAACTGGTGGGTTTTTTACCGGAGACCAATCAAATATCTAGCCATGTGCCTTCTATTTTGCTATGACACAGGCCAGGGGTGCAGAGAGCGAAAGTGAGTGTAACCCCTGGAGTATTGCGGATGGAGATACACAACATATTACGAAATTGAAAGGGTGTTTATATCTCACATTTTGTTAATTTCTCTGATTTGTGTTTCATATGAATACATGAACAATGCACAACCATGACTAATTATGAAGGTCAGGTTTGAAATATTATCATTGACAATGACAATTTGTAAATAGGCTATTTAAGCTTAACAATAATACAAAGGAATCTGTCCATTATTTGTAATTTTAAATTAAAGGCTAATAGCTATAAATAATCTGATTTTCGTTATGGATAATATATGGTCCCATTTATAATTTGATGGGCCTGACCTGAATAAGTTACTTGAGAGTATTCTGTAAGGATCTAGTCATTTTAATTAAAAGATGGCTGAGGTTGCTGTATTACCAATTATTGCTGTTGTAAAATTCTCCACAGAATCTTGCTATATTTACGTTTATTCCGTCTTTTCGTATTGCAGAGTTATCGTTCTTGTGAGCAGGTATTGATTGTTACGTCATTGGTTTGTGTGAGAAAATAACTTTGTTTTCTCAAAAATTGATGACGTTACTCTCACAAACAAGTGACGTAACAAACAATACCTGCTCACAAGAGAAGATAACTCTGCAATATGCAAAAACAGAATATGTTTGGAAACAGTAACTTTGATGGTGCTAATCCAGGATACATCACAGGCAATATATTGGGACTCTAAGAACTGATGTAGTGTTTTATGTCTTTTAAAATAAAATAATAAACCTATTATATATGTTCAAGGTGGGTCAGTCTACCGTAATTCATATTTTTTTTGACAAATAAAGATTCTAGACCTCATCATTTGTATAGTGCTTTTTAAAGCTGTATATTATATTCTTGCAACCGTGAAAGTAGGTAATGTTAAGGTCATAAATTTGGACAAAAAAATCAATAGACCACAACATTGTGCTGTTGGCCTAGCAGTCAGAACCTAGACTTCGTGGTTCTGCAGAAGAAGTTATTTGAAATTTAACATATTTGAATTTTCACCCGCTGACTTGAAAATTGGTCATGTTCATTCATAATCATTCAAACAACTTGTAATGAACATAAATGCATAACACAATGGCCAAAATTGAGCAGTTTTTAATGCACTTGACTCATAAACCTGAAGGAGACTCAACATCATTCATCTGGACTATAAAGTGGACAGCCCTAAGCATCATCCAAGCAAGCAGAAGCTTGATTAGGACTCTTTACGCACAAGATTTTTCAGAAGAACTTTTTGATGCTTTTATTTTACATATTTTATCTGAGAACTTGACAGTAGATAAAGGTAATCTATTGAATAAATCTCTTAATATATCAGGTCTTTTGGTGAGGCAGGAGTTTTGAGTGCCAGACTTTTGCTACAAGACTTGTCCATATTTGGAGAACCTGCACTCTCTCTTAGTAATGGGACTCATCACAATTTTAAAAGGAATGTTGTGAACATACTTGAACAATCCTACAAAATATCACTCAGAAGTTTTCAGAATTTGACATCCCTTTTACTCTAAAAAGCTATGAGTCAATACCTTGAATCAATGTGTCAAGGTTTCTGGTTCTTAGGGTGTTCACATGAAAAATTTAATAATAGATGATTGCAGGCAAAAGATGTCGATGACACCACAGCAGCATAAGCTAACTTGCTTTGTGTCATGTGAGCTGAAATTACATACCTGAAACATGCATGCTGCCTCTGTGACAATATGGACATTTTCTTGTGTCAAATCCAGCCTTCCGGTGACCAGGAAGTCCAAAATGATCCTCATGGCTTCTGGGTCAACCTGCTCCAACGATATACAGTCCGAGGTACTCTCTCTCATGTTGCTTTCAAACATTGCTTTGAAGTAATCGCTGGTGCTAGACAGCTTGTCTCGACTACAGGTCATTTTCTCTCCCCCAACTATCAGCGTGAGGTTTGTACGGTCTGGACGATTCCCCTCCACATCAAGATCTTCTGCTGGGGAATTATTATTGACCTCCATCATTAGAAGGTTAACTCCACAAGTCTACAAAATCATTAATTTACAACAATAATATGTATACGTACATCACAGAAACATAATTGAAAATGTTTTCCATATATACTCAAATGTCAATAGCCATTATTTGACAGTTTTGCCATTTACACTACCACTTGCAGTTAAGACTTTAACAAATAAAAATGTATCAGTAAAACTGTTGCTAACTTACTACTGGTACATGAAACAAATTCACGCGATAAGGTTTCCATAGAGGCGTTTTAATGTTGAAAACTTTAACTATTTGTTTTGTTCCGTCAAAATGAAATTGTAATTCAGTACGGTGCATGGCTGGAAATGCACTAATGCAGCAAGTCATTTGTTAAGAAAGAAGGCAGACTGAAAACATTAATCAATTAATAACTAAAATGAAAAAGAAACATTGAAAAATCGTGAGGAAAGACAAGGATAGTTAATTACAATATTGGAGATATGATGGAGAGGTGGGAGAGGATGAAATGTGAAAATTCCACAGGGAAGTGTCAAGATTTCTTCCACCAAGGTGAGTTTGGGCACTGAAAGGGGATAGCTAGGCATCTCATTTATCTACTTGTTATTTATGTCTGATTTCTCATTTTGCTGTGCAATGGAAAGGAATTACAGATGAAGCCATATACAGGGAATTCTTTCATGACCAATTTAGAACCAAACTTAGGTCCATTCTAAATGAAGAGTAGTGTCATTTTTCTGATATTCTCAAAATTGGTCAAAATAAAACTTAACAAGAAACTGCTAATGGCGATGTGTCCGGATTTCTACAGTACATTTTTAGGTAAACGGTTCAATATTTTTTTAATTTGTGGTGTCGGGAGAATTTCATGTTGGTGTAAGGCTGTATGCTACATTTCATGCTGGTGTATGCTACATTGCAAATCTAACCTTAGTCGACTTAGTACGAATCTTAAGAGTCAAAAGACAAAAAGACTAAGGGACTTTTTGGAAATCTTCAAATAATTAAGGCTGCATTAGCCATACACAACTAAACATGACTAAAATTTTCGTCCGAAATATAGGTTTCCATTTTTAGTGCTTGCTTACTTTATGTGTGCTTTCTCTATTTTTAGTTGCTTGCATGATTTTGTTTTTATGTTGTTGTATAATTATGCTTGCATGTATTCGGTTAAAAGCTAATTAGAGCTTATGTTTTGTCGTTTGTAACTATACCGAATTTAAATAAAGCTTTCATATTCATATATATATATAGGGCGAAACAACTTAGTGCGAAACGACCCGGGGCGAACGGGATTTAGGGCGAAACGACCTGACACCGGCTCGGATGATCATGATTGATGATAACTGATCGCTGGTCACACGGCTATCAAAAGAAAGGTTGAAACTTGTGCCAAAGATGATTTTGAACACTTGTGTAACAATGAGCAGAAAGAACATTCCTTTTTTGATAGCTTCACTAATATGAGCAACTAAAGCAGTAAGTAAAACAGGTGAATATCGCCAATAATGGTATGTGTTTACCTCATTCACTTGACTCTCTGGCTACCGGAAAACCAGAAGTGTTAACAATTTCTGACCCGAACTAAATGCCGGAAACAGCGAAAATTAATCCGGATTTTCACCGACGTAACAAAAATTAAATTTATCCTGGATGTTCATTGAAGGAATAAAGTAATGCATATGATATGGTAGATTAAGCAAAGGCGGTTGAAGATGTTTTATTAGAGTAAGTTTTTCAACAGCTAATTCGAAATGAAATTGTAACACAAAGTGAAACAATCAGTGTGATATCCAATAGGACGTTGCTGATTACTGACCAGAACCAGAACATCTGTAGTGTTACGAAGAAAGGATCAATTCTAGTATGTGATTCTTCGGGAGAGAGGCTGGTTACTCTTGTAGTAATGTGTGAGTGCTTCTTTGAAACCCTCAACTGTCTCTGCGCGTATCACATTCTCATCAAGCTGGTTCCAATCAAGAACAGTTCAAGATACACGTATATATGAAACAGAAACATTAGCTCTGAAGAGCTACTAGAAAGAATGAAATTGGTTTGACTTATCACTAGTTTTACTAATGAAGCACTTAGAGTTATTTGTCACACTTTTTTCGACAATGTTAGTATATTGAAAGTCTGAGTATTTAATGGCTCGAATTTGGCGTTTTGCTTTAGTCGGGATTAAGAAATCTGACAAGGTGATTGCCAGTAATATACTACTGGTTAGCTTGAATAGCATCACTTGACGGTTTAGCTTGCATCTGTGCTGCAAGGCTGGTAGACCCAACTCTTGGAACATGGTGGTAACACACCCTTATGTTTGGCTTCTATAGTCCTTCTTTATAAAACGTGCCGCAAGGCTTTCGACTTTTTTTCAATAAATGCATGTCTTTTTGTAAATAAGGATCCCATACGACTGAAGCGTGTTCTAGCGTGGATCTGACCAGGGAGATGAAGGCTATTCTTAGTATACTCTTGTAATACTTTTTTGCATTGAACTTCATGCCCCATTGCGTGACCCAATTTTCCAAATCCAGGAGGTCGTATTGTAGTAGTAAATGGTCACTTTGCGATTTTATTTGACGATATAAAAGACAGTCGTCGGCAAATAGCCGAACTTGGGATGATACTTTGTCAGATAAGTCGTATGACATAAGAACATGAGTGGCTTATATAGTACCGTTTCCTGGGGTACTCCAGATTCTACGTACACCGGATTCTTGGAGTGTGCTCCATCAACTACGACATTCATATGTCTTCGTCTTAGAAATGATGACAGCCAGTTATGAATACTGCCTTCGATGCCGTATGCAGCCATTTTGTAGTAGTTTATCATGAGGGACAGTATCGAATGCCTCGCTGATGTCAGTTTGGGTGTTACTGTCGTTGAATTTGAGGAGATAAAAGTGACTAAAAGTTGAGTTGCTGTTGAAAAGCCTTATTTGAAACCTTGGTTTAGTTTAGTAAGTGCATTGTGTTTCTTAAAGTGTTTCATAAAGTGGCTGCAGATAATATGTCCAATCAGTTTACATGATACAGATGTCGGGGAGAAAGGTCTGTATTTCGAATATCCTCTATTCCTCACAATGGAACTCATCAGTATGTTTATTCTTTGAACTTGAACGTTATTCCATTAGACCCTGGACGATGTTTTTCTACGCACCTGTTCACTTCTACCCACAGATGTTCAAAGGAGGACAACTTTGGACAAATTGGTGGCTAATCAAGTACTTAGACTTTGAATTGGGCTAGAAAAGCACGACAACGTCGAACGTGCCTGATCCTTGTATCTAGCGGCTGTGAGATTTCCTGGATGACAACTTATGTAAGGGGGTTTTCACAAAGTGACAGAAAGAAAATCATGGCCTCACTTCTTTTTAGATTTGCGATTTTTTTGTAAACCGAATCACTACTTTTTATGTCATGCTTTATATGACGTCATACATAAGCGCAAAGCACTGACCTTTGCTGTAATATACGAAAGTAATGAAATATCAATTTTTCGGGCAGGTTTGGCCCATATCCAACACTTTGCATGCTTTGACGTCATCATGCATTATGCTAGTTCGGCGATCCAATCTTTCAAATACGGACGTGTTTGCGCTTTTAATTGTTATTATTTTGCACTTCTTCCAACAAATGCCGTACTTTCCAGAACGACTTTAATAAAAATGTGCCGAACTTCCCCCGGTCTCCCTTAATCAGACGCATTACGTACACGTGTATACATATTAATATTGGCCCCAACAAGGGTCAACAAGAATAACGAGTTGCATATGTTCTGACCGAAGGAATTTGAGACAGTCGTACGAAAAACTAAGAAGATCCGTAAACCATTCATGTTCATTGTATAGGAGACAAATTCCGATGTTCATTCGGAAATATGGGGAAGATAAGTCTTAGAGCTCTAAAAAAAGCCATATTGAGGACCAGAGGAAAAGCACAGGGGCTTGGTTTCGAGATTTTGAGTAATATATATTACGTAAATTGTAATAATTTCGGTTAATAATACACGTATACACTTCGGTAAATGATAGCAACACTTTTTATTCTCTGTATACATTCTAAAACCTTATAAATATTGAGGGTACCAAGGTATCATTTTTATAAGCTTTTAGAATGTGTATAAATATCAGATAAAAAGTGTTGCTATTATTTACTGAAGTGTATGCGTGTATTATTAACCGAAATTATTTCAATTTACGTCATATCTTACTCAAAATCTCGAAACCAAGCCCCTGTGAGGAAAAGGTCAAAACACTTGACCACAACGAATACCGAGATTTTCAGATGGGCTTTGGGCTGACGGTGCTTGAACAAGGGTCCTTCGAACTAAAAACAAATATTCTTTTGTCTACATTTTACATATGTATACCCATATATTTATTCTTTTTATCTTTTGCAATAATAGCATAATTTTTTTTGAATTGTGTGTCAATAAAAAGTAAATTGTCACTCAAAGACGTTGATTGATTTTTGTACAGAAAAATCCAAACAAACCAATGAGCATTAAAGTATAAAATGATTTGAACTCGAAATGCTCATTTATTTTGTTTAGTACCGTACGTGGTTTGCTTAAAATGTAAATAATATCATTTAAAAAAAGGTTTTACCAAATCATGTTAGGTTATGCCTGGCATTATGAGGTAGCAGTTACAGAAATGCTCTTCAATAGTTTAAAGCGCACACACCGTGAGAGACAAAATAAAATAAGTTCACGGGTTAGGGTTCCCTATATACCGAAAACCGTAAAATATTTTGCCTTAAAAAGCCGCGCCTATTTTTGACTGTGTTAACATGTTTCGGGACCAATTAATGTTTTTTTTTTTTGAATTAAATTTAATTTCTTTTAAGATCTGTTATTATAGCACAGCACACTTTAAGATTGATAGTACTTGTATAAATCAACCTAGCTCTAGGTTAATATTAAATTATGTTATGCTAAAATAACGGAAAAAACCCATACGAGTAGCTTCTAACCAATATTTTAAACTTATAGTTATAATTGTAATAAACATAATTTTGACCTTACTTTGGTAAGGTGATTCACCTTTTTCTGTCTATTTGATATCATAACGTTATCATTAACCCCGTAGCGGGCCTCAAAGAATAGGAATACCGGAAGTCAATCCGATTGGCTGATTTTTCTTAAACCAAACATTGTTCAAAATCTTGGCGGTGTTGTTTTGTACACGGCTCAGTTTAGCACTGTGGTCCATCCCTTCTGCAAAGTATATTGTACCGTGAAATCGTACATAATGTCTTTTGCGAAGGGTAAACGATTCAACGAGGTTAAAGGTTTGTAACAGTTTGCAACATCCTATAAAGCTTACTGCGTGAAGGGCTCATGCAACTGAAATCATTATTTATTTTGCTGTCTCACAAACTGACAAACGACATCATCAGATGCTTGGAGCCCTCGTGTATATTTGTTACTTTGCAAACTACCGGGTTTCACACCTGTTTGATGATGTACAGCCTAACCGTCTTATGAAACCCTCGTGTATATTCACACCCGTTTAATGATGTATCTCCTAACCGTCTTTTAAAACCCTTGTGTTGTGTTGCATCGGTCCCCCTCATCACGCACCCCCCTCCCCGTTCCCCCTCCCCACCTGACCACAATACCGTCCACACGTTACTGTTTACAAAGAAGTCTGCAAGGACTAGTCTGGCTCCGTGCAGAAAGTATATACGCCTCTGCTCCAAAGTAATATACATTACATAATATATATCTGGACCAAACCGCAGGAATCATTTGGATGGTGGTCTTATTCTTAATTTACATAAACTTGGGGTCATTGTTCTGATATCCTATAGGCCTACAGTACTGGCTTTACTTTTGTTCTGGTAATTGCCAGACTGCCTCTTTATGCTTAGTTTCATCTGTGATTGTGTGCCTTCTGTCAATCCATCAACTATATGTTCCCTTAGTTTCATTCTATTTAAAAAAAACACACCACCTTATAATGATTTAAGAACAATTTCAAGATCCCACATGAATAACTCCCCTAAAAGTTGATATGGTCATTCAACTCTAGTGGTAGTCTGTCTTCCCGAAATCTGGGCAACCTGGATCGGTGTCTTAAATGAAATAATTTCTTTCTTTTCATTTCTCATTTTTTTTTTTTATAATTTTGTTCGTATTGAAAATATTAATGCAATAGAATGTAGAAAGTTTGCTTTTAACATTAAATTCTTTAAAGCTTTAACTGAAGGCGTTTGTTTTGGTTAAATGCTTTCTGTTGGCCTATGCATGACTGCCATGACATACATCTCACATCTTAACTGATGAATGATTATTCAGTTATTATTCAACTGAGAGTAATACTTTAAAATTAATCCTGGTAGCTGATAAGACTACCAATTAGCTCTACTGGCTTCCTCTACAGTTACTGTGAAACCATTCATATTTCATAATTTCAACACATGATCAGAGTATTGTAATGACACCCAATTTTGGTACCAGCCTATCAGGCAGGCAGTGAGTAGGCGAAGTTGGCAAAAATTAAGTTGAAGACAACCTCATCTTTAGTTTCCTAAACTTCGGAGATTTGCATATGAGAATGTGTCATTTTGGGACTTTCATGTTGATACCAGTTACCACATGGTGAGGACAGTGCAGTGAATTGGAATTTAGACTTGTAATGATACTATATCAAATAAATTATACTAGTTTATGTCATATGTAAATGAAATCCCTTGTATCTTGTAAATGAAATGGTCTACATCACAACTTGAGCTGGTGAATGGTCTATGATTAAGACTTTAAGGCTGAATGAATTCATAAAAATAGCTTGGTGTCATTATTCCGTCTTTGCATATTGCAGAGTTATCTTCTCTTGGGAGCAGGTATTGATTGGTACGTCACTTGTTTGTGATAATAACGTCATCAATTTTTGAGAAAACGACGTAACTTTCCCAGTAATTTTTTCACACAGACCAATGACGTAACAATCAATACCTGCTCCAAAGAGAAGATAACTCGGCAATACGCAAAGACGGAATAAGGAACGTGTAATTTTATCTTGGCTCATTATTTTTTTTTTAAAGTTTGGTTTGTCTTCTTCTGAACGTACATGTGTTAGATAGACTTGAAAAAATTGCACTTCAGTGTTGCCATTTTAGACCATTAAAATAATAATAAGTAGTTATGCCATTGAGAAACCATGTCGTGTTGTGTGGCCTGTTAGTATTTGTAATAAGGTATGTGTACTGTCATTTTGTAACATTGATAAAGTGTCATGATGTTATAAATTAGCTTCACTTGTTAAAAAATTAAAAGTACTGTGGTACTATAATAATGTACATAAATTAAAAATGTAACTATATGATACTTTGTATTCTAGGTTGTGCTCCTCCAGTTGGTGCCTATGACCCTAAAGAGGTTGATAAGAAAAAGGGAGCAGTGATCTTAAAATCAACAACAGAAAGATTCAAAGAGCCAAAGGGTGATTTTTTCATATAATTATTTTGTTCTACATACTCCAGTGGTTACGCTTACTTTTACTCTCTGCAAATTTGTGTCATAGCAAAATTGAAGGCTCGGTGTGCGCCACCTTGTGAATGAGACGAGAAGACTAGTTTGATGCTTTAAAATCGGGTGTCGCTCCTCTATGTTATCTTCATCAAAGGACAGGTGTCCGTCTAGCGATCGGCCAGGTTTGGTGCAAAGTGTGAACGTTAGCGGATCCCTTAGAGTATGGAGGATCTCGGGATGATTATAGTGGAAATAGATCATTATAGTCGAATTTCAATTTTAGGTTCTTCTATGCTCTAGTTTTGAGTCCATTATGGTATATAGTGGTGAAAGGGTTAAGAAAATCACACTATTTAAATCTCAGTGGTATATCAGGAAGGCTATTTCAATGTCATCCAAAATCAATATTTATACACAAAATGTACATGTAAAAACAGGTGAGAATTTGGTGGCTCTCACCCACCAACTTTATTATACATTATTTATTTTGCCTGTATGCATGGAAGAAGAAATTTACGGTACATCTCCAAAGAAGAACTTGACATAAAAGCAAGATTTCTCTATAAGTTTCTTCCCTAGTCTACCAGTGTTTTAGGACACCATTACAATCAGTTTTTAGATCTGAAAAGAGAAACTCAAATTTCTGAACACAAATACAAAGTTTGAAGTCCTGTTTAAATGATATTTGGATATATTTGAAATACAAATTTAAACCAAATAACTTTATTTTTTGCCATTTTCAGTGATAACCCCTGGTCCTGGAGCGTTTGACCTATCGTCCATTACACCTGGTAAAAAGAGTCTGAACGACACCCGCTGCAAACTCAACTCAACATGTCTGGGCAATCTAGTATGACTTTGTTAAATTCTATTCTTCCTACAGTTTGATGTACAGTTTTTATGCCAAATCAATATCTCAGACAGTCAAAATCATATTTCTTTCAAGTGCTTTCAGATGCCATGGGGTCAAAATCAACCAAAATTTGAGGTGCATTGTGACTGTTTTTTGGAACTTACAAGTCTAATGAAGCTTTGTTATAAAACAGCCCCCCACTCCCTCCCCTGGTGTCTGATAGAGTAGGATATTGTTTTTGTGCAGTTGTGTTTCAAAAGCCAGGATTTTCAATCCATCGTTAGTCTTCAAAGCATTGTTCTGCTGATAGACTGTCAATTTGGTTAATTGTGTAACTTTATATCTCATCTTTGAGGTGGGGATTTCTAGTTTGTTTAACTGTGTAAGTTTATTTCTGGTTTGTGGGTGGGGATTTCTAGTTTGTTTAATTGTGCAAGTTTATTTCTGGTTTGTGGGTGGGGATTTCTAGTTTGTTTAATTGTGCAAGTTTATTTCTGGTTTGTGGGTGGGGATTTCTAGCTTGTTTAATTATATTGGAACAAGTGTTAGAGTCTATGCACAAGTGTTATTGTTTGAGAAAATTTATGTCGAATATACATAAATTTACAAAAAAAAGTAGTTATTTGCCTATACATCTATGTATACAAAAAATGTAATCTATTCAGAGTGCAATTTGTGAAATCTGTTTTAATACTTTTATATTCAAGGTCTATGTTTATTTTATGGGTTCAGGTCTAGAAAATAGCAGTGCTACAACTAAATATAATATTTTAAATTATGTTGCAGGTCTCGTCAGCATCAAAGCGATTGCTGAGCCAGTCCTCCTCAATATCCTCGTCTGTCGAGAGCCTGTCGTCTAAAGGAAAGGACAAGGTTGTGGGAAAAGCTTTCTATTTGTATTATGAGATGAATTTATGTAAATATTTAGTATTCCTCAGGACATGATTTTTGTCTCGCCGCCACGAAGTGGAAGCGAGACTTAAGTGATGCTTTTACGGCTAAGGCGTCAACATTAAGTTTTTGCGTTTAATTTAGTTACTCTGAAAGTATAAGTGCTAAACCAACCAAACCAGTACATGTCAACCCATGTATCAAATGCTGGATGCGGCATACCTTCCATGGTCCATTGACTTTGTCAGCATCTCTATCAACATTAAGTTTGTGCATTTAAGTTAGTTTCTCTGAAAGTATAAGTGCTACACCAACCAAACTTGGACCATAGATGCATCTTAGGTAGTACATCTCAACCCATGCATCAAATGCTGGATGTACCCTACTTTTCATGGTCCATTGACTTTGTCAGCATCTCCATCAGCAATAAGTTTTTGCGTTTAAGTTAGTTTCTCTGATATGTGCATTGATGGTCAAAGCGGGGCATAGGCGAGACATATTAATCCGAATGGCTTGTTTTACCTAAATTGTGATGAAATCATTCTTGGTGAAACTGAAATTTCGAAACAAATGTGGAAAAGGACAAGTAGAGTTATAATCTGTGCTCCATTTTTGTGTCGCCCGAACGCGAGGCAACATATAGGTATTACTTTGGTGGCGTCGGTTGCGTCATCCAAAACAAGGTTTCCGTGTGATAACTTAAGTTCCCTTGGATTGATTTAATTCAAACTGGGTACAAATATTGCATACCAATATAACTCGGACGAGTTGGCATTTCAGAAGTTAACATGCATTTTTAGTTGAGTTATAACCCTTTTATTGCTAATTAAGGGTATTGTGTAGTAAATGCAGGAACTTTTTTCATTTTTAATCAATCCCTTTCAAATTTTGTATGGTAATGCTAGAAGCAATGATGTTCAACTTATATTACATGTTTTTCTGTCAAATTCAATTTTCTGCGTTTTGGCATATCACACTTGACATAGCAATACTGTTCATCGTTTTTGACATGCATTTTTGCTTGGTTACGCGATAACTCAAGCCAAAACACTTTTCTCACTAAAAGTGCTGAGCAGGCGACACATCCACTCCTGTGGAATTCTTAACATTGTTTTGTGTAATTAAAAATAAATGCCTGCCTACTTATCCTAATTTTTAACACAAAACAGACATAACTTTGTGTGGTGTACGAAGTGTATTACCAGTAGACATAACAATATGCTGGCAATGCTACAGATCTAACCAAAAACAATAACTGTATTACTAGTGTTGTTCCATTTTCAGATATAAAATTTCATGATGAAAAATGTCTTTAAATGTAAACTACAGTGACCCTAATCCCATCTCACCTCATTTAATGTGATTTGTTTTAGTGAACAGGTGTAGATCTTCTTGCGTTCTCCGTTGTCTATCTTGATCCTTTGTGTAATCCCAGTCTTGAAGTGTCCCAGTGATTATGGTATCAATGTTTTTTTCAGAGTGACACAAACGGAGGTTTGTGTGCACGGTGTAAACTGTTTTCTGAACAAGACTCAAAGGACTGGGCTCAGTCTCTCAAGAAATGCAAGTAAGTATGAAGTTATTTTCATCATTCTCTTTATTTACAGTTTACAAGTAAAGATTTGACTCTGCCCTGCCATTTCAAGGAGACTAAACAGGTGGGATTTTTCTATTCTTAAAGAAAGTAGCAGAATCCAAAATATACAACAAAAGCACTTGACAAATTCCTCAAGTTACCTACCTGCCATTTCAGTTATTTAGTGATATTATTCTCAACTATTTTGGGCATACAGGTACAGAGGTACAGCCTAATGATCCATGTACCACTGCCAAAACAGAATTAACTTTTCTGCCCGCATCTTAAAAGCTTTAAAAGGTAAATCATTTTGAAAAGAAGCCCATAGCTCACAGTTTTTTTTATGAAAAAATAAGAAAGATGCAAAAAATGTGTTCTGAGAATAATTTGGAATAATTTTGAAGAGACTTACACACAATACAATTTTCAATTTTAGACAGGATATTTGGACAATGTCAACTGATTTAAGAAAGTTTGTTTGAGCACAGAATCCATGCCTGAGCATGAGGGTGGATTCATGAATATGGGCCCAGGATTTCCGATGAAAAGTATTTCTGTTTCCAGAAAGGTCCTTTCATTTCCCTGAATTATTGTTTACAACTGCAAACCTAATGTTAAAATAATTGTGATGCTTTGGGAACAAAAGAAAGCACTGTGTCAGCGCGACCTTTTGACACAGTAGAATGAATGAACCTCAAAACGAGAAACTTGACATTAGCTCATTAAAGATGCTGTGCCTATTTCTCATAAAGATGACAGTTGTTATTCATGTTTGAGGTTATAATCCAAGGCAATTTTCAAATTTGTTTCAAAGAGAGGCCCTACAAGCCCAAAAGTTTCGACTGCAGGAAAAACTACGAGAGCTGGAACTGGATTCTTGGAAAAAGGATGACTCGATCAGGTATGGATGGAAGCTAAGGTCCCACTTAACATTATATAATAACTGGGCAGAATTTATTTGCACACAGTAGGCTTTACCAATATTTTCACATGTATGTCTGAAATGGAATATGACATCAGGTGAATATAAAGCAAGCTCAAACAGCCATTTCCTATGGGCTGTGAGTGTCTTCTGATAACAACAAACAGTGAAACATGACCCTTTTAGGTTCATTTCTCTTACCATCTATTTGAAATTGAACCTTCCTTTGTATGGGTTTTGCTAAATGACAAACTCATAATGCCGGTACTGTGAGTTTAATTGACATGCTTATCTTCTGCTAGGGAAGTTTACTCTATAAATCTATGCTACAAGCAAAATACCTACATATATGCCAGGACATTTTCGTCCTAGTTCAGTTTTTGCCTGTTTTGCCCTCTGCAGTGAAGGTAAATTTATCATGACGGCAAACATTGATTTACTCACCCCTTAAGACACAATATAACTCTTCCAATTAAAAGGTTGGAATAGTTCATTATGAAATGTCAGGGGTGATTGAGTTAATACACAGCATACCATATATATAAGTAATTCATTTGAAGAGCCAAGCAAAATATACACTGAGTGATTTGAAGGGTGTGAATATTTGACTGGGTAAAAATTTGTTTGTATATAATCGTGTATGTATAGGATTTTACATGAGTTTCCATTTCATATGAAATTCATTAAACGAGTGAGAATTTTTCAATTTAGCGAGCCTCTGGTGTCAGAGCTTAAATGAAAACCTCATGAAAAGTTTCATAAATTTCATAAGAAACAAAAACAAGGGTAAGATCCTTTTTATCACATAATCAAGATTTGTGGCATTTATTCGTGTAAGATGACAATTTTCATGCAACCTTGAAATGTAAAAAGCTGCCATTTACAATCATGACTCCAATTGGAACATACAACCAATCACAGGGCTGATAGGTCATATTACATGGGTTGATACGCAAAATAATATGACATGGGTATATTCACTGGATAACACGGTACGTTATGTGATAAATGTATGTAGTCCTGATTCTGGGAGAGGACTTGTATAGGCTTTGCCTGTTGCCCAATTCCCATTAAATCTTGATTGATTTAATAAAATATTCTGAAATGAAAATGTAGTCCTGATTTTTATGTATATGTAGGTTTCTGAAAGGTGAGGTGTCTGCAACCAACGACCACATGTTACAAGGAGAACAGGCGTTGTTTGAGGCCAATGCAGAGATTGCAGAGTACAAGGAGAAGCTGGAACAACTGGAGGAGTAAGTTTATATCTGGGTTTAAAATTTTCTAACTTTCACAACTGAAATACACATGTAATACAACAGCAAAAAAAAGGAAAATGGCATTTAACTTCAGTAGGAGTATTTCAAACTTTGTGTTATAGCTATTGATTGAATGTTAATAATATAAGTCTGTAGACATAATTTTGCGCTATAATTTATTTAGGATAGACACCTGGAAAAAGATAACTTAAGGTATAAAAGAAATAAATAACTTTTGGTTTTGATTTAATGGTAAATAATACAATACCCCACTGGGCCAGATAAATTTGATGTCAAATTCATTTTGCCAAAATAAAAGAATAATCCAATAGAATATATAATCAGGTTGACACAGCGTTTTTGTCGTCTACTTCAGTCATTCCGAACCTGATTGTTATGTCACATGCTCAATTTTATCCCAAATAAGGGAAATACGACTATGTTAATCAGGTTTCACGAGGGCAAAGGTCGATTTAAACATGATTTGTTTTGGAGAAACAAATAATCGTGTTTCCCTATAAAAGGGCAATAAAAAATAAAAGAATAATCTTATTATAGTAACTAAAATAATGTGACACACTATTGTTGTCTACTTCAGTCATTCGGTACCTCATTTTGGTGTCACATGCCAAATTTCTTCTAGAGAGGCTCCAAATAAGGGAAATATGATCGGGGAAATACGCAAAATATCGACAAAATATTTCATTGTCCTGTCATGTGATCAATATCATCCACTCAGTCACGCTGCTTTAAATATGAGGTATGATAAAAATTACAAAGTGTTGAGATCAGAAGAACCATCACTAGCCAAGAAGCTTTGTTTTTAGCAAAATGAACTGACCCACATACCAGATCACTGGCCTGAGCATGCAGCTAATGAGCTACATATTGAACCCAGTGTAATTTTACCTTTCTAGACAAGAAAAGACTGTTAACGAGAACATCCGTCTGTTGTCTGAGAAGTATGAGGTGATAGAAATGCAGCTCGGTGAGTAAATATTAGGGCTGTCACAATACGTCCGGAGTGTATCACGATATATTACATTATGATCTAGATATATACTACTTTATACTACCTACCAGTAACAGGATCAATTCATTAACAAAGGTTGTCAGTGTGAGAATACGTGAGAAGAAGTTGAGAACAAGTTAAGAATGGATTTTCCCACTTTGGATTGTATTTATCAAAATTAAACGCCTGATCGCACAAGGTGATGACATTAACCTGAAATATGGAAATGAACCAGAAATAGTTTCCATGCAAAGAAAGGTGTAAGAAAAAAAGACGTCATATAAACCAATCATCATAAATTAAAGAAAGTATTATGAGGAATGACCACACCATTTTAAGGGTATTTGTGGGTGGGGAATATCCAATGACAAGATTATTTTGAAATATCTTGTCAATATAATTTTAAGGTTCATGGTATTCCTCCTCGCAAAACTTCTGTTGACATTTGTCACAGACCAAGGACTACAATGATCATGGCATTGTTGGTAGCTATATGGTAGTTAGTTAATTATTTTTTAATCAAGAACTATGCAAGGTAGATAATAAAGGGTTCATCACAGTGTTTTCAGAGTTTGTTGTGAGAAAGATTTTTTCATTGTCAGTATGTGGATAAAATCTGGAGTCCACCTGCTCAAAAATGTTATTCACATGCTCGCAAAGAGAAAATTGTTCTATGACAAACCTTGAAAACACAGTGTGGTGGCCTTTAGATGTTATCCATGGACTTGCAATGAGAATATTGTTCTCACGACAAACCCCGACACCACCGAATGATAACTTATTAATTAAGAAGGGATGTATTGTCGTACCTATCCCATGATAATGTCTAAGGTAACAAAGCTCAATTCAAGAAGAAAATGTTGCCAGAATGTTATCAAACTTTGACATATATTGATCACACCGACAACATTTTTGATTCAACATTAAGTTTTTGTGTTTAAGTTAGTTACTTTGAAAGTATAAGTGCTTCACCATCCAAACTTGGACCATAGATGCATCTTAGGTAGTACATCTCAACCCATGCATCAAATGCTGGATGCGGCCTACCTTTCATGGTCCATTTACTTTGTCAGCATCTCTGTCAACATAAAGTTTTTGCATTTAAGTTAGTTTCTCTGAAATTATAAGTGCTACACCAACCAAACTTGACATGTGCATTAATGGTCAAAACGGGGTACATGCGAGACATATAAATCCGAATGGCTTGTTTAAAAGCGTGTACACCTCTGTTGGCAGCTGAGGAGCAAAGTCATGGGAAGGAACGTCAAGTAGAGCTTCAGTCACGCCTGGAAGTTACACGCAGCAACTTGCAGGAGGTAGAGGAAGATTGTGTTGATCTTCAGCGAAGGAACAGTGACCTTCTGCGCAGCCTTCACAGTGAAAAGGTATACTCAAAAATGTTACCTGGACGAGCTGTTCCATGTCAAAAACTTGTTTTATATAACTTATTACTCTTAAAGATGCTGCACAATTAAGGTTAAGATGAGGTACTGTTATAATTAACCCTTTCACCCCTAGGTAACTTTAGTAGACTCTACTATACATTGAGTCCATTATGGTTTACAGTGGGTAGAGTCCATTATGGTTTACAGTGGGTAAAGGGTTAACCAGTATGCAACTTTCAATTTTCAAAATCTTTAATTGTATGCCTGTACTTGACTTCTGTCATGTTATCAAAAAAAAAACCATGAGGATGTATCTGTCACATTTGATATTATAGGTAAATCCAAAACTCTGGTTTGAGTCGATTTTCCTGTCCCCTCATTTCAGTGACTTAAGGTATTCCACCTTGAATTGATGTTTTAGCCAAAGAAATGTTTAGTGGTTGAAAAATATATCTCTGTTTATATCTATATTAACTAAGTCTATTTTCAACACTTCACTCCTTTGTGATAAATATTTTTGATTAAAACAGTTCATCTGTTCTTAACATACAGATATTTCAGTGTAAACACAGTGTAATATATCAATGTCAGGAGTACCAGCAGGTTAAGATATATATTATATTATTACCTTTGACACTACAATGTACATGTATCTATTTTGAAACGATTCTACAGACATATTCCATATAAAACACATGTTGTCTTTGTCAACATCTTAATCAACACTAAGTTTTTGCGGTTTAAGTTAGTTTCTCTGATATGTGCATTGCTGGTCAAAGAGGGGCATATATAGGCGAGACATATCAATCCGAATGGCTTGTTAATTTAATATTTAAGTTTGAAACAGGGTGAGGTGGAAAAACTTATCTACCGTGTGTTTAACTTGAAGACAATGTGCTGTGTTGAATATGAGGTCAGTGTTTTTAATTTATCATTTAAATTAAAACCAGGATGAGGTGGAAAAGCTTATCTACCAGATGGATGAACAGAAGAAATTGTCTTCAGACCTTGGCAGTCTTCTGGACAGCAAGGAGGAGATCATCACAGACTTAGAAATACACCTCGAGGCCACCAAAATAGAACTGCAAAACACAAAAGATGTGGCTGAGAAAAACACTACCGATCTACAAAGCCTTCGCGAAAAAATCGCAGAGCTGGAGTCCACAGAGAAGTCACTGGAAAACCAACTGCAGGAGGATTGCATGACCAATAATCAGATTGCTCGGTCCCATGCTGACAGAATCATGGAGCTGGAGCAGGCAGAGCTAGTCCTAAAGGAAGAGGCACAACAAAAGGATGAAAGCTTCCATTCTGCTGTGAAGAGGTGTGAGAGTCTGGAAGAACAGGTGGAAAGGCTTACTATACAGGTTAACAGTATAAAGGAGGAGTTTGAGTGTACTGTGAGTGAGGTGAAGCGTACCAAAGAGAAGGAACTACAGGATCTAATGGAGACCGTAGACAGGTAAGTCTGACTGGAAAGGTTCACTGAAACTTTCTACATTCCTGCTTGTAAAGGTCATTTTGAAAAAAAATGTTTTAAAATAAATTATCTTTACATGTCCTTCGATAAATTCTTAAAGTATCAAGCAATCGCCTTTTCATAGAATTATTTGTAATTCTGAACATTTTCTTCATGTTGGTAAGTATGAATTGTAGACTAAGGTCATGTATATATATCACATCCAGTAAGTGTTTATAGGTGTATTAGTCGTAGTATTATCACACAAAAACACTTCCTGGTTGTAAATACATAACCTCTCTACAATTATTTGTATTTGGTCAGATGTCAAATCATTTCTTGTGGGAACAGACATAATTAAAGTGAAGAGCAAATAAAACGTTCCATTTCACAATTTGTCAACATTTGAAAGTTCCCAGATTTTCCAAGGTTTGACCGTCATTTTTTCCCTGATAAATTTCGTGAATAAAACCTTTATTAAACTTTTTTTCGTTTCTCTCTTAAAGGGTGAGAGAAGAAAAGAACGGACTGGAGAGGCGTGTCGCTGAACAGGCTGATGAAATCTCGGCCCGAGATGATAAAGTCTTACTTCTGTCTAAAGAAAAGGAATGTGTGGAAACAAAGATGGCTGCCAATGAGGTAGACCACCAAAGGATTATCAAGGGACAGATAGAAGGGATTGAGAACATGAATATGAAAATAGAGACTCTCTGTCAGGAAAAGTTGGAGCTATTACGTCAGCTGGAACAGGTCGCCCTCGATAGAGATACAGTCGCACAACAGCTCCAGGAGACTAAAGAGAGTGTTGCCGTCACTGCTGCCCAGAAGGAGGCTGAATGGTCACATGACCTGCAACGTCTTACCAGTGACCTCAAGGCAATCACAGAGGAAAAAGAAATACTGGATCAAAAGTTATCCCAGGCGACAGCTCAGCGGACAGGGCTGAGCGAATACGTTGATGAGATCAAGGCCGAGTTGGAATCACAAAAACGAACCGTCGAGGAGGTCACACAAAAGTTGTCGGACAATGTTGTTGAACTTACTGAGAGTAGAGACAGCCTTCAGCAACACCTTCACATAGAGCAGACCAACTGTAAAAGTCTTCAGAGTGAGAACAACAGTCTGATGAGCGAGATCGACTACCTGCAGAAGTCATCGAAACAGCTGAAATGTGACGTAACAGAGGAGGGGAAACAGCATCAAAAACAGGTGGAAGGATTGAGTCGGGAGAAACAAAGGTAGGCGTGTTAACTCATAGTGTACTGTTTCAAATGTCTTTATTAAGTATACAAACCCCGGGAGAGGGCAAAAACCTACAATACATTACAAAATTACGACGTTACTCTCACAAACAAATGACGTAACGATCAATACCTGCTCACAAGAGTAGATAACTCTGCAATACGTGAAGACGGAATATATGTTATATGATTATAATTAACTAAATGTAAAATATCCTTCAGCTGAAGTAAATTTCTAAATAGTATTTTGAATAGATAGAGAAATATTGTTTAAATTTCTAGGTGGGAAAGTCATTAGACTGGCAGGAATCAATTACTGTAGCAGTTTCTGTGTTTTATGTTTGTAGATTGGAGAGTCAGATAGCAGATATTGAGAGACAACATTCTTCTCTGAGGGAAGAGTTCACCTCCAGCGTAACGGAACGATCATCAGCTTTGGAAAAAGTGACCGAATTAACTGACCAAGTTGCCAAACTGACCGACGACCTGACTGTCAGTCAATCTGCGAGAGACAGTTTGATGGAAAATGTTACAGTACTAGGGGAAAAGATAATTGACTTAGAGGAGGAGATTGACTCTGCAAAATCAGTGAATGTCTTTCTCAGTAATCAGGTGACAGGATTGACTGAACAGGTGACCGAAATGGAAAACAATCTAGAATCAAGTGAAGCTAAAAACCAGCAGTTCGTCAGTCAAGTCGTGGAATTAAATATACAATTACTCGACATGAGAGGGCAGTTGGATTGTAGTGGAGAGCACAACGATAGCCTGACCCGTCAGGTCTCGGGACTGAAGGTCCAGGTAGCTACATTGGAAGAAGATTTGAAATCGAGTCAGGCTTTGCTCCAAGTCAATACACAGGAAAAGTCAGTGATTCGCGAGGAACTAACATCTGTGCGAGCAGAAAAAGAAGCTCTGTCAGATCAAATTTCTGGACTTGCAAGCAGTTTGTCGACAGTTGAGCATGAGAAGAAGTCATTTTGCAAGCAGGCTGATTCATTAGCGGACAAACTGATGCATCTACAGTCAGAATATGATACACAGAGTGAAACTGTGACTGCCCTTGAAGGACAATTATCACATAGTCACGCCAGCTCAAAGGCTGTCTCTGATAAAGTGTTAGTTCTGGAGGAAAATTTGAAATCTAGTGAAGTCGAAATCAAGGCAAAGGTGGAAGAAGCCACTCACCTTAAAAGGTAGTGTTTCTATAATATTGGTTAATGTTTTGTGGCTTTTAATTGTGAGTTGTCATCAACAATATGGGAAGGGATGTTTTTTCCCACTTACACTTGCATAGGTTTAGGGTCACATGACCGATTGCGAATACATGTACATGGATGTTATCTAAGTACTTTGTTTCCTCCCACATTAAATTCCCCTGGCCCACCGTACTAGAGCAGTTAAGTTGAAAAAACTGTTTCTGTAAGGTTGTAAAATAAGGTTTATTTATTGTCCTACACAAGGACCTATGAAGGGCTGGAGTGATTGTTGATACATGGTTCCCTGTAGGCACTTTTGCCACATTTTAACACAATATATAGTTGTGTCGCCTGCAACACGAGGCGACATATAGGTATTACTTTGTTGGCGGCGTCGGTTGTGTCGTCCAAAACAAGGTTTCCGTGCGATTACTTGAGTTCCCTCGTGTTGATTGAACTCGAACTTGGTACACATATTGCATACCGACGATGTAGCTCAGACAAGTTCGCATTTCAGAAGTTTACATGCATTTTTGGTGGAGTTATGACCCTTTTATTGCCAAATAAGGGCAATGTGTAGTAAATGCGGGAACTTTTTTATTTTTTTAATCAATTCCTTTCAAATTTTGTACGGTAATGCTAGAAGCAATAATGTTCACATATATAACAAGTTTTTCTGTCGAGTTTCAACTTTCCATGTTTTGGCATGTATTACACTTGACATATATAGCAATGCTGTTCAACGTTTTTGCCATAAATGTTTGCTTGTTTACGCGATAACTCGAGCCAAAACACTTTTCTCACAAACAGCGCTGAGCAGGCGACACATCCACTCCCGTGGAATTCTTGTTTTATATATATAAACAGTATAATGATATGGTGATAAATAATTAACATGATGTCCTCATGACAATGAAATGTTTAAACAAGTTTTATTTGTTATCAGTTACCTGTCACACTTAGAGACTGAGGACAAGAAAAACAAGGAGTGCATTGTCGCCTTACAGGAGCAGCTTGGCGAGGGAGCCAACAAAGAGGAGCTTGATCAGGCCCTTAAGGAGCTAGAAAAGTGAGTACATGTGTACCCTAAAAATATGTACCCTAAATACCCTATCATCAGATCAGTTATTCCTTCCATCCCTGAAGAAGGTGTTGTAGTGTGCGTGTTGGGACAAGCCTTGGTTTTTGTAGATATTATGTAATGAGTTACAGTGTTGTTATGTTAGCAGCATGTGATAAAACAACATATATATTCTATATATACCGGGAACATTTTTCGTTGCAGTTAAATTTTTCGCCCTCCGTAATTAATGATGGCAAATTTATCATTACAGTGAATATGAGTAGAACAACACAATATACATGGTACTTTTGTAATTTTTTGTAAAGGCCAAAATTAATTAGCTCTTGCATTAATTGATATTGATTTTATGGGTAAATGACGAAGGTTTAATTGGGTGAAAATTTCCTGGTACATGTACACAGAAACTACAATCACAACAACTGTGTTTGTCTCGATTAATCATAAAAGTAGATTTATTGTTAACAAAAAAAAATGAATATTGAAAACAGCAGTAATTTCAAAATTGACTTCCACCAACAGACATTGCCTATATGAAAATATGATAAAATATGAAAAAATCATGATAAAATGTTGATAGGTTAAAAAACAAATAAATTGGATGTATGTTACACATGCCAAAACCATAAAAATGACTGACTTTATATAGGTCATCATTTTGACCGTATTTAGAGTTTTTTTCTGGGAAATTTTATAGGGCTGACATTGTGCCCCTTTCCAAATTGAAACTTTCATATTTATGCCTAATTCCCAAAATGTTCAGTTAACTCCTGAAATTTCCTTCACAATTGTTACTTTTTCTTATAAAGACCCCATTCCAAATTAACAAACAGTTCTGATATATATATATATATATATATATCAATTGGCTTTTTCTTCAACAAATCAACAGGTGTGCACGTGATACGACAGATATCTTTCTAAACTCTTTATTTTTTACAGGATTTAAACAAGTCTTTGTTTAATGCAAATACAATATACATGCATGTATATTTATTAAACTGCCACAATTGTTCAGCTATAAAATACCAAGTTCATATAAATTCAAGTGTCTGAATTTTTAATTTTAATACTTTAGTCAGTAGACTGGCAGTTGTTTGTTTCAATTGCAATCTGATTAAAATCATGATTTGATCTACGCTCCATTCCGAAAACTACACTATGCTACGTTAACAGGGTTCGACACTAACACTAGTCCACTTGTCCTGGGCTAGTAGATTTCAGCAAGGACTAGTGAATGGCCTAACCTAACTGGTCCTTTGGACTTTTTTTTGAAAAATATGATCATAAAATAAGTTCTTTTTAAGATTTAGAAAACAGCTTAAAATGAGATATATTGCATGATATTTTTAAAAAAAAATATCCTAAAACTTCACCATATTTTTATGACAGTAATTATTTTAAGTCCCTACTGTTTATTACTTTTGATGTTTCCTGCTGTAGATCGCAATGTTTCCTTATCAGGAAATCTTGGGACTAGTTACATTGACGAAGGACTAGTAAATAAACTATTCAACTAGTCCTGTGGACTACCAAGCAAAGAAAGTTATAGTGTCTAACCCTTTAAGTAGCCGAGTGTAGATTACAGACATGGCCTGGATCAAGAAAGGATTTTAATCAGATTGTTTCACATGCCATGGCCAGTATAAACTTAAAGTCAGGACAAATAAATGATATCGTATTTAAAGATGATGACTGTAAAACGTAGAAGAATTATTCTGAAAATGAAACGTTACACATTGCAAAGTGTCAAAGCCTTATTGATAAGGTAGATCCTTATCTCATCGCTGTCATTTCCTTGTATGTTTTTAACAGGTGGAGGAAACTGTATGAGGATCTTCAGGCTAAGGTAGAGCCATTCATGGAGCAGTTGGATGCATTTGAGTTGGAGAAACAAGCTCTAACAGGTATTTATTTTTGTAACAATTTCAAGACTAAACACATATTTTTGGTTCACCTTATCTTCTCAGTATTTTCCACCTTGTAAATTTTGCCATGGAAAGTTAAGGCCAAAAATAAAATTAAGTTTGTTTGGCATAGACTGACTGAATGGAGCTTAATGTACTGACAAAAAATAAATAAAAATCGCTTGAAAAGTAGGTATAACAACTGATTTTTTTTTCTTACCTACCAATCAAGTTCACAGTGGTGGCTCCGTCAATACCAACAGAAAATATTTTAAGGTTGGCCTTATGTTTTTCTTTCTGATTGATTACCCTATACAAACATGTATTCTGAAACAGAATGCAATTATCATATTAAGCTCATTTTAATAACCTGATAGTAACAATCGGAATGGACTAATCAGAAGGAGGCGAAAATATTGAATTGAAAGTATCGGGAAAGTAACGATCTGTTGAATGATAATAAAAAAGATGTCCCTGGATGAGAGTTGCTCTGAAGTGTTAGATTTGGTATGAACACATGACATCCAATCTTTATTTTATATTATATATACAGTCATGTTGTGAAGCAAGTCATTAAAAAGAGTATTACCCCAGGTATACATGAACATGTATTTGCAAAGGCCATTTCTGTTTGTTTAAATGATACTCAAATGTTGGTAAATGATTATGAATACATGTAGTTACTAAAAGATGCTTATGAATTATGTAGCCATGATCGGATAATTGGCGATTCTGAATCAGTTAGTGACGTGTTGACAGGTGACCATTTTGACATAAACACAAAAGAGTTTCAAAACCTGGCCTTGCCATTCATTTGAAATGCAGTCAGCCGTGACATCCTAGTACATAGCGATGTGAACGACTTAAAATTTACCTGTAGCAATTGCTCTAGAAACAAGTTATCATCAAAGTTTTCTCAATTGTCAACAGTAACTTTAAAAAAAAATCCTATAGTCAGCATTTTTGACAACAGCAATTTCAAATCGCCAGTCAGGTTTTACTTCGCCAATGGTGCTGCTGGGGGCTGCCAGTGCAAGACCTGCATAAAATTATCATCTAAAAAGAACAAAATAATTATATAATCTTTTTGTGCCAAACAGGTCGAAGTAAGAATGCTCAGGCCGAGGTGGATAAGCTGAGTAAGGAGTACGCCAAGCTGCTGGGCCACCAGAACCAAAAACAGAAAATACACCACATCATCAAAATCAAAGAGGAGAACAACACACTAAAGAAGGTCAGTTGTCACAGTCAAATCTACAAATATAGTATCTACTGCAAACTTAGTGGGACCTGTCTTAACTACAGCTAGTGTGTGAAAAGTCTCCCTTGAGAGGCTGTCTATACTGTGTTCAAACAACGTAAGTTAGTTTTACTGGTTTTTTTAACCATGGAGACCAACACCACTGCTTTCGTACAATGGAAACTAACTCAACTGAGTCAGTACAATAGTAAATACATGTATATCTGTAGTTTTAGTACAATGGTAGCTAGTTCTCTAGTTTTAGTACAATGGTAGCTAGATCTCTAGTTTTAGTACAATGGTATAGCTAGATCTCTAGTTTTAGTACAATGGTAGCTACATCTCTAGTTTTAGTACAATGGTGGCTACATCTCTAGTTTTAGTACAATGGTGTCTATATCTCTAGTTTTAGTACAATGGTAGCTACATCTCTAGTTTTAGTACAATGGTATAGCTAGATCTCTAGTTTTAGTACAATGGTATAGCTAGATTTGTTTTAGTACAATGGTATAGCTAGATCTGTTTTAGTACAATGGTATAGCTAGATTTGCTTTAGTACAATGGTATAGCTAGATCTCTAGTTTTAGTACAACGGTAGCTAGATTTGTTTTAGTACAATGGTATAGCTAGATCTCTAGTTTTAGTACAATAGTTGCTAGATCTCTAGTTTAAGTACAATGGTTGCTAGATCTCTAGTTTAAGTACAATGGTTGCTAGATCTCTAGTTTAAGTACAATAGTTGCTAGATCTCTAGTTTAAGTACAATGGTTGCTAGATCTCTAGTTTAAGTACAATGGTTGCTAGATCTCTAGTTTAAGTACAATGGTTGCTAGATCTCTAGTTTAAGTACAATAGTTGCTAGATCTCTAGTTTTAGTTGTTTTAGTACAATGGTATAGCTAGATTTGTTTTAGTACAATGGTATAGCTAGATTTTTTTTAGTACAATGGTAGCTAGTTCTCTAGTTTTAGTACAATGGTAGTTACATATCTAGTTTTAGTACAATGGTAGCTAGTTCTCTAGTTTTAGTACAATAGTTGCTAGATCTCTAGTTTAAGTACAATGGTTGCTAGATCTCTAGTTTTAGTACAATGGTAGCTAGTTCTCTAGTTTTAGTACAATGGTAGCTACATATCTAGTTTTAGTACAATGGTAGCTAGATCTCTAGTTTAAGTACAATGGTTGCTAGATCTCTAGTTTTAGTACAATGGTTTAGCTAGATTTTTTTAGTACAATGGTAGCTAGATCTCTAGTTTTAGTACAATGGTAGCTAGTTCTCTAGTTTAAGTACAATGGTTGCTAGATCTCTAGTTTTAGTACAATGGTATAGCTAGATTTGTTTTAGTACAATGGTGGCTAGATCTGTTTTAGTACAATGGTAGCTAGATTTGCTTTAGTACAATGGTAGGTAGATCTCTAGTTTTAGTACAATGGTATAGCTAGATTTGTTATAGTACAATGGTATAACTAGATCTCTAGTTTTAGTACAATGGTATAGATAGATTTGTTTTAGTACAATGGTAGCTAGATCTGTTTTAGTACAATGGTGGCTAGATCTGTTTAAGTACAATGGTAGCTAGATCTCTAGTTTTAGTACAATGGTAGCTACATCTCTAGTTTTAGTACAATGGTAGCTAGATCTGTTTTAGTACAATGGTGACTAGATCTGTTTAAGTACAATGGTAGCTAGATCTCTAGTTTTAGTACAATGGTAGCTAGATCTGATTTAGTACAATGGTGGCTAGATCTGTTTTAGTACAATGGTGACTAGATCTGTTTAGGGGCAATGGTAGCTAGATCTGATTTAGTACAATGGTGGCTATATAGATCTCTAGTGTTAGTACAATGGTAGCTACATCTCTAGCTTTAGTACAATGGTAACTAGATCTGTTTTAGTTCAATGGTGACTAGATCTGTTTAAGTACAATGGTATAGCAAGATTTGTTTTAGTACACTGGTATAGCTAGATCTCTTATGTTTAGTACAATGGTAACTAGATCTGTTTTAGTTCAATGGTAGCTAGATTTGCTTTAGTACAATGGTAGCTAGATCTCTTATTTTTAGTACAATGGTAGCTAGATCTCTTAGTTTTAGTACAATGGTATAGCTAGATCTCTTGTTTTAGTACAATGGTTTAGCTAGATCTGTTTTAGTACAATGGTAGCTAGATCGCTAGTTTTAGTACAATGGTATAGCTAGATTTGTTTTAGTACAATGGTAGCTAGATCTCTTATTTTTAGTACAATGGTATAGCTAGATCTCTTAGTTTTAGTACAATGGTGGCTATATAGATCTCTAGTTTTAGTACAATGGTAGCTATATAGATCTCTAGTTTTAGTACAATGGTAGCTATATAGATCTCTAGTTTTAGTACAATGGTAGCTATATAGATCTCTAGTTTTAGTACAATGGTAGCTATATAGATCTCTAGTTTTAGTACAATGGTAGCTATATAGATCTCTAGTTTTAGTACAATGGTAGCTATATAGATCTCTAGTTTTAGTACAATGGTAGCTATATAGATCTCTAGTTTTAGTACAATGGTAGCTATATAGATCTCTAGTTTTAGTACAATGGTTTAGCTAGATCTGTTTTAGTACAATGGTAGCTAGATCTCTAGTTTTAGTACAATGGTATAGCTAGATCTCTTAGTTTTAGTACAATGGTGGCTATATAGATCTCTAGTTTTAGTACAATGGTAGCTATATAGATCTCTAGTTTAAGTACAATAGAAGCTATCATTGCTGTATCAGTGAAATGGAAACTAGCTCTACTAAATTAGCACAATGAAAGTTATCTATAATGTATTAATACAAATGTATAACGTAAGCTAACTCTACTATTTCAGTACAGGTACAATGGAAACTAGCTTTATATTGTTTTTGTACAATGGAAGATAACTCTACCAAATTAGTACAATTTAAGCATACTCTACTGTATAAGTACAGTAAAAGCTAGCTTAACTGTATTGATACAATAGAAGGTAACTACTATATAATGTTAGTACAAAATAAGCTAACTCATGACCACATGCATTAGCACTAGGCAGTGTCCCGCACAGAACTTACAGTTCACAAATAATGGTGAAGGGTTAAAGTTCAAATTATTGTAGACTAGTGCTTGTTTTAAAATGTATTCTGCTTTATTTAACTGAAAAAATAAAGAAAAGATGGAATAACAATTATTGTTTGAAAACTATTCCCTCATTATCCCCTTGCTACAAACTCGTGGAGGAAACATAGTGTTCGTTTTTTTACATACTTATGTTCTAGGGCTGTAATGATATGCATTCCTCACGATACGATGCGTTTCGGGATACAAATATCTGCTTAAAAGGTCAACGTCATAATGATTGAGTGCAGGATTTTGTCATACACTTCAATAGTAAATACCATCGAAATATATTCTTGTATAATTTCTAGTTCTTTTCGGTAAGACTGCACAGTGGACCAAATCTTTACTGAAGGATTAAAAAATTTGCTAAAAAATTAATTGATAATTAAAGTACTGTTAGTGTATCACAATACAGGCAAACAAAACAGTTTGGTACGATACACTAGACACGTATCGTGATACAATACATAATACCGTAACTTACAGCCCGATTATGTTCACGGTCACATTTTGCTCAAGTCACTTCCATTTTTGAAAAGCTCTTCATCAAACCTCATGTACTGCCAGTACATCTAGCATGAGAATACCTTGAACAATAACTACTTTTTTGCTGGGTAAGTTTGGACAATATTTTCATCATTTATCAGAGGTTGAGGTTTTAAGTATTGGATACAACACGGTATGGTTATGTATATGGTCCTTAACCACATGCAAGGCGATTTGCATCATTTTGTGATGCCTTGCTTTTTATCATATTTTAACTTTTAAACTTTTGAGTTGTACCATGATGATGTGCAAATATGCAATTCATTCACCCATAATACTTCAAAAAATTGACAAGTCTTCTTGCTTTGTTTTGGATGAAAAAGCAAAAGTGGTTGTACTGACCTGTATGATAAATTTCATCTTTGGAAAGAACATCAGATGGTACAGGCTCAGAGTGTCATCTTTCATACCTCACTTTCTTAAATATATGTATATCATGATGGCATGCAAGCTAATGAATTGTTAATGTAGTAAAATAAATAGGGAAGACAGAAAATTAATAAAATGGGGAGCCATGCTCATTTATGTATTGTCTTTTCAACAGGAAGTGTCTGCTCTACGTGAACAGTGCAACAAACACAAAAGAACTATAGGCAAAATGGAGGACAAGGTTCGGGTCGTCGAGGGCAAGAAAAGATTTGATTCTTCCATGGCATTCTCTCGCTCTAAGGAAAATCTGGTTCCACCTTCTTCTCCACTCCGTGACGGTAAGTTGTGAGGGATGTGTATCGCGGGATGACTGGGATAGATAATCTGTGTATCAATGTGTCGTGGTACTTACTGTATACCAGGACATTTTTGCCTTTTTCACCCTCTGTAATGAGGGCGAATTTATTATGACGGATTCATTTTCGCCTTTTCACCCTCTGTAATTAATGAGGACAAATTTATTATGACAGATTCATTTTCGCCTTTTCACCCTCTGTAATGAGAGCAAATTTATTATTACAGATTCATTTTCGCCTTTTTCACCCTCTGTAATTAATGAGGACAAATTTATTATGACAGATTCATTTTCGCCTTTTCACCCTTTGTAATGAGAGCAAATTTATTATTACAGATTCATTTTCGCCTTTTTCACCCTCTGTAATGAGGGCAAATTTATTATGACAGATTCATTTTTGCCTTTTTCACCCTCTGTATTGAGGGCAAATTTATTTCTCTTGGGGATATAAGTAAACAGCATAATAAACGTAATAATTAAATGTGAAGGGAAAAAATTTGAAAAGTTTGACAGGGCGAAAAAATCCCAGTATATAGTATAGACTACATTGCATCTACCGGCACATAATATGAAATTAATGATTGGTTCCTGCTGACTTTGTGTTAATTTACATTATGAAGACTAATTTGCCAAAGGTATTAAAATAATGACTTGAAATATGATAAGATTGAAACGAAAGATGATTGATTGAAATGTTGTTTTAACGATGGGCTCAAGTTTATAAGAACACTAAGTTATATTTTCTTTTATTTAGAAATTCTTCCAATAGTGGTATTTTAGAAAGTTTCAAAATATATGATAGTTTTAAAGTGGTAACGATAGGCCAAACTGTTGTTTGCTTCTCAAAAAATTGNAGGGGGGGGGGGGGGGGGGAGCAAAAGCAAATTAAAAATAGAAAAAAAAATCACCTTATCATGACAATGTTCAAACTTCGAAAAACACTAAAATAACATTTTCAATCAAAAATTTTAAAAAGATTAAATTTTGTTTGTAATTTGTTGATATGACTTCTAAGTAAACAAAAAAAAAGTTATTTTCAGTTCTCTGTAAAATATTAACAAAACTGGTCTCTAAAATAAAGTATAAGTAACAATTCTTTTAAGGTCTCCCAGGAAATTGAAATCTAATGCAGGGAATTTCCAAAAACAAAAACAATCCCATGGATGTTTTCTCCCTAAATTTGTGTATTTTAGACCCCAGCTCTTGAGTAGCTTAATGGGTTTGGATGAATCTCCTACATGTACACATTGACTATGTAGAAGTGTCTCGCTTCCTCAACCGAAGATTAATGTAAAATCTCTTGGATTAGAGAGGAGGCCATCCTCGAAGTCCAGGGCTTGCGTTCACTTTTGCACACACAGTATATGTCGTGAATAAACCAATGGCTCTGTATACGTACAGGCCACCTTGCGGCTGGTAAAAGTCGACTTGTTTGAATCTGTATAGTACATCAAAAGAATCTCATGGATGCATAATAGTGAAATTTAACGACTTTGAAATCAGGTGTTGGGTCACTGTTATCTTTAAAGGACAGGTAATCCCATGTTAGCCTAGCGATTGGTCTGTTTTGTTCACCTGAAACTATGTGAATCAAATAGCTTTCCACGTGCCTTCAATTTTGACCTGATTTCTTCCAGGAGTGTAGAGAATGAAAGTGAGCATAAACCGTGGAATTTTGAGGATGAGAAGAGGCAAAGATATATATCTTATTTTATACTTGTACAAATCTGTTCTCAATCTATTTCCTCCGATATCGTTGCAGGCAACAGACACTGATTGTTTGCGAGTTTGGAGATTCATTGGCAGCTGATATGCATTTTCAACAGGAGCTTTCTCAGACAGCTAGATTACAATTTTAATATACCTTTATCATAATGTGTTTTATGATTTCCTAATCTAATTGTTTACACTATATACTATCCAGTTAAGACAAAGGATACAACTGCATTGTTTTATATTTGCAAATAGTTTTTCTGACTTTGAGTACTCTCCCCTCTGTATTGTAGACAAAGCAGCCAAAATGAGTTTTGCTGGCTCCGAGTTACTTCCCTTGTAAAGTTCTCGTATCTTCTGCGGTCTATAAATTAGACACTTATTTTGATGGTGTGTTTTTATGATTCCTGTATGGCAAGATTGGTAAAGTGTTCGCTTTGCGATGTAAAGGTCCCAAGTTTGACTCCTGTAATTTTGTATCTTTTCTTTTTCATATCAATTTTCAAACTTTCAAAATTTTGAACAACCATATTTCTGTAAAAAGCAATTTTTCCGGAACATTTCTTTTGAAAAAGAACTTAAACCTTACCCCTACTCTTCTTCTAGATGTACGGCCATGTAAGGCTAAGCCAAAACATTTCTACCTTAAATATATCAGGCTGAGTCAATTGCCAAAACTTGAAGAAAATGTTGGATCTTTTTTTTAAAGGCAAATGTGGAAAAGTTTGGAATTGTAAGACATTGATGAATATGAAAAGAATGTATAAATGTTTTATTACTTTATCAAGTGAAATATATTTATAATGCTATCTTCTATATGTGGAAGATTAATGAAACTATTCAATGTATTTGTTTTAAATTTATACCAATTTGTCTGTTTCACATTTAATTCTGTACGTAATAACCTTAATACATATCAATAATACATTGTATGGTACAATGTTGACTGAAACTTGACCAGAACACACATGTTTTTATTTGGTTATTTTGTAATTAAAAATATTTTAAAAAATAATGATGTATTTTTAAAGTTACAGTTTTGCTTCAGCTTATATTCAGGGATGTAAGAATGGCTATTTTATGGGTGAACTTAGTGTCCTTGATAGTGTGTGGGAATGGGAGTCTTGTTAGTTTAAGTTTCATTTAAAAAAAATCCATATTTTCAAAAGGGTTATTACTAACAATTGCTACTAATTCTCCTTCGTAAAACCCTTATAGATAAATGTATGTGATCCTAGGGTGAGAGAAAGAAATTTGTTGTGTTTTTACTTCCGTTTGACTCCAAAATTTACGGTAGGTGGGAAAGCAAATTTTGTTAAAAATATATTTACAGTGATTGTGTAAAGCCTACAGTTCAGACTTGAATAGTGCTTGAATAGTCCCATTTAAGAACTTTTTAACTTGCAGCTTCAGTATCTTATTGATATCGAAATATGTGTAGACTCTGTATCACAATACTTTTCAAAAGCTTATTTTGATGTATCTGTTTAAGAAAAGGTGATTAGCTATGCAGAAAACTATAGCCTAATAGCTATGTGCAAAAAAACAATTGAATAAGTTATTATTTGTGGTGGGAATCAGTTGAAATTTCATAACCAGTGATATCAGAGAAGTTCAATGAAATTTTAAAATTTCTATAATTCATATTATATTCTATGATCAGTCTGACAAATAATCATTTGTAATTAAGATATAAAACTAAAAAGTTGAATTATACGATTTCATTGAGAATTTGCATTGAAGTTTCAGAAATCACAGAAAATGATATTAAATAATGACATTGGGATAGTAGGAATAATTTAATTTGGTTGCTAGGAAACGCAAACCGCCTGATACATCGAGTATGTTCCAGGACTTCGAATGAATATCCCGATACATTATGTACCAGTTACATTTCATGGAATTGAGTGAATATTTTGCTGAGAGGTATATGCAAAGTTTGTACTTAATTAACTCATTCACCCCTGAAATTCCATAATGAACTATTCCAGCCTTTGAATTGGAAGAGTTCAAATGTGTCTTCAGGGATGAATGACTTAAAAATGAAAATTATTTATCTCATGAGTACAAATTGTTAATTACTTTTTCCAAATATCAAGGTGCGAACAGATACTTTCCAGGTTAATATGTATAACTTCTTATCTAGCATTGCTAGAATACCTGCTCAAATGTTTGTAATTAGAGTAGTGTACAGACTTGTAAAGCAATTTGCAATTTGTAATGTCACAGATGTCCAATATCGGGACAAAGAAATCTACTTCACTCCATTTATGAATTTCTGTACTTTTTATTATTAAAACTATTGATAATGTTTTCATTCTTTTCATAGCCCATCTTTACTTATGCATGCTGTTGTGTTTCCAAGTGATTATCAACCCTTTCACCCCTATGTACCTTTAGTAGACTATACCATGCATTGATATGGTTGAGTCCATTATGGTCTACAGTGGTGAAAGGGTTAAGTAGTCGTAATTATGCAAAAATCATGTAATCAGTCTCCGAGATCGGTGATAAGTGAATTGAAAACCTGTGCTGTTTTTTTCCTGAGTGGTTTAACCATTTCACCCCTTATGTAACTTTAGTAGACTCTACCATGCATTGATCTGGATGAGTCCATTATGGTCTACAGTGGTGAAAGGTTTAAGAGAGATGGGCCAGTACTTGAAAATTTGAAAAACCTTTGCCTTTCTTTTCTAATCTTCGTAAGAAAAAGGGAGCATATGATGGGAACCTATACTTGTCCTTATTGTGTGAATGCAGAGTAATGATGATTTGACAAATGAGCATGAATAAATAACATTTGGATGAAAATTTGTCTATATTACATTCATTTAAATGATAAATAACTAGACATATATGACAACTTAACTTTGTGAATGGAAAATGTTGGTGTGTATTTTGCATGGATTTTTTATGGTTTTGAGGAGAATTGTATACCTTGAGATATCAATTTTGTACTGAAATGGTCAGTGTCGTTTGTAAAAATATTGATTCAGTTGGTACCCAGTGGTTGTTCTTAGAAGGTAGGTAGTCCCAGTGGTCTGTGTTATATCTCCAATGATGAAGAGTTCCAATTGTGATTCCACTTCAGCAAAAGAGTTCATGTACTAAAGAAGTAAATATGTTATAATTTCCTTTTTAATAAAAAATAAACCCACCACGACTCCAATATGGGGGTTTAATTTCTGGACCTATTGGTTATAAAACAGTAATTCACCCAAGTATTGCTTATACATATAATACGCCTTTTTGAGTTGGTCGTTTATGAAGTATGATGTTTATTTTCTGAAAAACATTCAAGGCCTGTATTAAAAATGTGCAGGTCTGTCACGAATTACTCCTGAAATATTACTTGTAAAAGATAGACAAACCAGTTGGTTCACATAAACAAACACGCCCTTATTATGTAGGTAAATACATTTAACCAATATTTCTGGGAATAATTTCAAAATCTTTCAACTCCCTAAAAAGTTGTCAACCCACAACTGTTTTGTATAAATGAATGAAGAGGAATTAACAGGAACTTTCAAGGTTTTTATACAAAAGAAAACTGGTAAAACTTTGTTCCTTAATACTTGTATGTAACTGGATTATTTTCAGTTCCTTTAATATGCTCATACACGTATTGGTAAATAAATTTGTGTGTAATAACAATTCAAGTTTCCTTAAACTAAGATGTATGTATGATTTTTTTTCTCTAATATATACATACTTTTTCCACAACTCAAAATATCTTTACTTCATCAGAGCACATCAAAACTCACTAGTCTCATATATGTATACATACTTTTTTCCACAACTCAAAATATCTTTACTTCATCAGAGCACATCAAAACTCACTAGTGCATACTCAACTGATTTTACATTTTCAGAAAAATCCTTTCAGAACTCTTTCTATTTTTGTAATCCATCATTGTCCATTTCTAAACTATATCTTCTATAATCCAAGGGTGGTGCTCTCTTACCTCCTCTCCACCTCTGAAATATGCCATGACGAAATCAAAGGCTCTGTATGGACTAGTTTGATCCTCTGATGTAAAAAGAAAAAAAGTCAGGAGGCAGGGCAGTCTCGTGGTAAAACTGGCTTGCTTTCACGTTTTCAGTCAGGTGTTGCTCCTTTGTAATCTTGGAAAGACTAAACAGCTGTATGATGCTGTGTAAGTGATTTTTGGCATACTGTGTCTTATTACCAAATTTTAAAGGTACAGTCACCTGTGTGTGTTCATCTTTCAAATGACAGGTACCAGCTTAGCAATTGATCAGAATTGTTTTATAACCAAATCAAATCAAATAGCTAATTGTATGCCGGACTTTGTGCCCGACTTTGATTTTGACATATCCCTGGGGTGCAGAGGCGTAGGAAAACGTAACCCCGTTGAATTTTGTGGATGTTTAGTGTGTAGCCGATGTATATGCTGTTGCAATTATTGAATGGTATTTATTGATATTTGTTATTTCTTGTACTATTATTGAATTGTCATACTGTCGCCCATCCTGGATATCCAGGATGTTTGTCACCTGGAAAAGCTTGACAACCTTGAATGGCATTTCACTATCGTTTTACACAATACATTATGTCTATGATGTAGTTTTTACATTGCCAATTAAATACATGTTTTCTTTAAAAAAAAAATTGCTTATTTTTCACTTATTTCTATTGAAGTTATTGAAGTTATTGATTCCAAACTTGGTTCAAACGTTCCAAATCATTTCCAAAGTGTTTCATTACTTTTCGTGCCAATCCAAAATTCCTAGATGACCATCCTAGGCTCATTTCTTCAAAACTGGATTAGCTCAAGACGTCACGTAAATGCAAATATTGCCAAGTAAATGTTCTGAATGGCATAGTTTCAAAGTTTAAAAATAAATAAAACTAAACATAAAGAGCTTCGAATCAGCTGAAGACAAACTGCATTTCAAAAATGTCGTTTTGAAAATTTGCATTTACAACTGGTTAAGCTTATCAGACTTCTGGCGACTTGTCCCTAGCATCAGATTAGGCACCATCCTGTCCTTTCATTGGCGGAGACACTTTCGGCTTCTTCTCAAGAATGGCTAAAACTTTTTACACGTTACTTGGTACATATCAATGCTTGTGCAGTCTCTTGTATAATGAGCGAAATATAGAGATACAGTAATAACAAGCTTACTTAGTAAGCACGGTTGCATTTGCTTTGGCTAAGCTACCAATCCAACTTTTTACACTTTTAGCTCCTACTTTGAAAAATGTGTCCATTGACAGTTTAGCCAAACTGAGTAAACTAAGGATGTTTGCTGCAATAGTGTCCGTGCATCAGCAGTACTGTGTCTTTTTACTTCGCTGATCAACAGACAACAAACATTATTACATCAAATGTTTTATTTGTATAATCGTGATTGGATAACGCTACTCTTTATCACGGACTTAGATAACAAGGACTAATCTAATTTCGTGTTTTTATACAGTTTAGTGTTCTCTCAGTCCTTGACTTCGCCATTGGCTATATATGCTCGACTCGAAGCATTGGCCTTTCCCGTGGAACACTACATGCATTCTATATCTACCATCACTCCAGTATAGGAGAAAACGAGACGATATGACCAGGGCGTAAAGAAGTTACAACGGGGACCGTCGAGGACCGAGCCCATACATTTGTGTTGAGTTTATATGATACATGTTTTATGTTCGGTTGAACAAAGAGAATAAAAATAGAAGATATGATCCATGCATAAAGAATTATCAACAGGTACGATACTAAATTCCATGGATCTGTTTGAATTGGCTGGAGAAAACGCTCTTGAAGGCCATCCTTAATATAGTCCTGGGGTAATGCTAACTTTCGCTCTTAGTATCCCTGGAAATTGAAGAACGGCTAGGCTGATACCTGTCCTTTGAAGATTACAAAGGAGCTACATCCGACTTCAAAGCCCGCCAATTTTACCATTACGCGTCCAAGAGATTCTTTTGATGTGCATCGAAGGATCAAACTAGTGTTCTTGTCTCATCCACAAGGTTTCACACACTTCAAACCTTCGATTTTGCTATGACATATTTCAGGGATGCAGAGAACGGAAGTGAGCGAAACCAATGGAATATGTCATAGTAAAATTGAAGGCAAAAAGACAGCTGTTTGATTGGTCTTAGGTAAAAAAAAAAAAAAAAAGACCAATCGCTAGGCTGATACCCGTTTGAAGGGGGCGACACCCGGCTTTACAGTCAGTCAATTTTTACCGTAACGTGACCGCGAAATTCTCTTGATGTACACCAAAGGATCGAACTAGTCTTCTTGTCTCATCAACAAGGAGGCGCACACAAACCCTTCAATTTTGAAGAATATCTTTTCCATATCTTTTCCATTGATGAGTGGAACAGTCTACAACTGGTGGTAAACTCAACTCGCGATCAATTAACTCTTTGAAAAGCAATCTGAACTTGTAAGAAAGGGTTAGATTTAAATCCATCCATTCTGCTTATAGTATTCGTATAGTATTAAAAAGTGAGCGTATTAAAGTGGGGACGTTTATACATAATAAATGTAAGTGTATGCTTGTCAGAACAGCACACTATGAGACCAACATGTTTGCAGAAATATGAAGGAAAAAATCATGGCAAATGCACAAATTCATGGCTCTTCAAAACTTTTGAAAAAAATCCATCTTAAAGAATGTGCTTTTGTGCGCCTGACACAAAGACACGCTTAGAAATAAGACCGGAAAACAGGTGAAAGATACATCACTTTACATCCAAACACCCCCATATTCAGCCCCAACAAAATCCTTAATTTTGGCCCAGACATAAATTAAATGTTGATTTTAACGGAACGCGAGAAAATCACCAGTTAAGTGTACGTACTACATATATAAATATAGAGCATTTTGTGATTCCACTGGAGAATATTCTCCATATTTCAAGTAGTTTAGTTTGTGAGAATGACAATAAATTGATCGAATGTCCAGGGTTCGAATGGTATGGTGCCGTTCGATTTTAAGGTTCGAATCACTTGGTTATAAATTAAATTATTGATTCCATTTTTTTTTATTTCGTGTTTTATATTTTTTCCGTTGAAGTCTCGCTTGCAAGGTACTGACAGTAGCTTTATATAGGTGAAGGTTTATTTTACTGTATAATATGAATAAATACATGGCTTTAGCCTTCATCTTATGTATTTTTGGGGTATCAACAGCACGTGTGTCTTTCTATAGAGCTCAATAAAGTGAGTCAGATTCACTTGGAATTTTTGGCTGGTCGAGTACCCAAAATCTAACACTTCATCATATAAGTCAGTTTATGAAAATGAATGACAGCATTTAAATTATTTTCTGCATTTAAAGAAAAGTTTTGACAATTTCTGACAGATACTACATGTATTCCCTAAAATATTCGTTTGAACATATAATTTACATGTTTAGAAATATGTTAGAATATTTAATTTATGTTTTCGTATCGTACTGTTTCCCGTTTTTTTTTTAAATTTTCAACTCGAGTTTATGAGCAATATGTTTAAGAGGTAGGTTGATGACATTTGTTCAAAATGCATAAAACTCTCTAAATTTTGATTGAGAATACATACTATTGATTTTTTTTGCAAAATGAAAATTGCTGTGTCATATATATCAAAAGTGTTCCATTTTGGGTACCTTCACCCTGTTAACAGTATGGTTTTCTTTTCGGAGATAATTAATTCATCAACCTACTGCACTGCCGGGGTAATGCCGAAAAAATCCCCTTTATAATGTGTTAGCTATTGCAGTTTTTGGCAATGGTAGGGGTACTAGAGCATCAGAATACCGTTCTTTGCACATATATATATTTAAACGATATTCAATAGAGAAACCCCATACACTTTGGGAGAATGGCCATTATTACAGAATCACCTCCCTTCTGAAGAACTCGCCAACATATAGAGGCGTGAATGTGACATTCCTCGCCAAGTTCTAAATTGATTTGCTTGAGCGATGTCGGCGGATAAGACGACCACTGGGCTTACAGTTGAAAAAGGACACGGTGACAGTGAAGGAAATAAGTACGAATGTCCACATCGATTGTAATTGGTTTGAAATGATTGAACTAACATGGACACCAGTGGCACTTCTGTGATATTTTAGTGTGTCCAGCAGGCAAGCACCTGTGAGTGGCACTACACTAAGACAGTTATTAATTATACCCGGCTTCCTCTGGCCCGAAATGTCTTGCCGCCAGAAGCTACATTATCGCAGATAGCCCTACATTAGTGCTGTACTTGCACCTTTGGAGTGTTAAGATCATATATATCTGCATGAAAAAGAGGGTATATAGTATATATACATGTAATATAACGTTATTTGTTATATTCAGTATAGTCCGAATAATTCGGACTATATTCGGTATAATATGCGTATAGTAGCCTCAATGTAGGCCCCCTTTACTTCGAAGCAGATACTTGTGTTTGGTCAAAGTTATCCTGTAGTAGGTCACAGGGTTCTTTTTGCAATTGTACCCAAAGAAAGAAAGATTGGTACATGTAAATGAGGGACCTTACCACATATGGTACGGACTTAGATAATCTAATTCGGTGGTAATGATAAGAGAAGACAGGAAAATATGCAGTGAGGGTACTAGTGCATTTAGCAGATTGGGAACTCCCTCGACTTTGAACTCGAACACAATTTTCCCAATTTCTAGATTATTCCCCAATAACAGGGATACATGATTTTTTTCAAAAATTAAGAAAATTAAATAAAAAGGAAAAACTTCTTTTTCTTCAAGAGAAACATTTTTCAAAAATTAAAATATTGGACTTTTGTGTTTTATAACAATAATGTGGGTACTTTTTTTCATTTTTTGTTTGTTGATAAAATTTCCCAACTATGCAAAGGGATTTTCCCAATTTACATAGAAAAAACCCCTGTAAATCAATCAATCACACATTCTTTTAGAGTTGCAGGATTTTGTTTTGTTTAATTTCCTTATTTTCTTCTTTAGACTTTCAGGTAAGAAGAGGGAGGGTTACCTGGAATGGCCAGAGTATTTTATGGCCATAGCTTTTCTGTCAGCACAACGAAGTAAAGACCCAAGAACGCAGGTACAAATCATGATGTTATAATATCAAAGTTTTGCTTTATACACAATGTTCATAATAAATGTGTTGCAACATTTCAAGACTGACTGGTCCCATTGTTAAGCTATGACTGAGTGAGCGATTTGTATTGTTTACCTGTACAATGATGTGCTGAAATTGCCTATTTCATGTCTTTCTCACGGAAGCAATTGAAAGTATGAAAGTATAAAAACATGAACAGAGACAAGTGGGGACACCATCTGGGTCATCTGTATGACCCACTATACTGACCTAACGGAAAAGGGGCTAGATACTCACTTGAAGATTACCACCAGTCTTTTTACTAATTTTGCATCCTTGTTATGTACATAGTTTTAATACAATACCTAAAAATTACAAAAAAATATTCTTTGAAATGCCACCTCCTAGGGTCAATTGTGCTCCAACCTTGGAGTTCTGATCCTTGTAATAGAAGAAGAAGATAACTTATTCGTGTACATGTATACACTATCAATAGGCGAAATGTCCCAGGTCGAGTGACATAATATATATATATATACAACTTTTCTGTTTCAGGTTGGGGCTTGTATTGTGAATACAGATAACAAAATTGTGGGCATAGGCTACAATGGTATGCCACAGGGCTGTAATGATGACATCATGCCATGGAGCAGGACTGCTGAGAACATACTTGACACAAAACAGCTCTATGGTATATCTTATTCAATATTCTTCAAAATGAATGGTCTACAAGTTTGATTGGTCAATTATCTTTAATATTGCAGGAGGCCTTAAGGTCATTGGAGTGTATTGATAAACGGAAACAGGAAGTACATCCCTGGTTGAATAACCAATGTAGGGAGACAGCATCACAATTTCCGCAAATTCTTATGTTTAATATTAAATTGATAAATATTGTATGTTTATTATTGACAGAACAGTGTGTTCTCTCAATATTAAAGTCGTTCAAAGGAATCCAGGCATTAATTCAGGTTTTTTTTATCAATGAGTCGCATGTGTCCATTTTTCTGTACTTCAGGAAACCGGCTACCTATTTCACTACTGTGAAGTTTTTCAAGAACGATAACTCTTACCTGCAATTACTATGTGTATATGGTTTTATTATAAAATGTCAATTTTTATATCATGTATAGAGAATTAATTTTACACAATTTCAGCATTTATTAAATTGATATACATTAATGCAATACTGATATATGTCAGTATCATTTTTATTGACATTATTACTTTAAAGCAATATAACTACAAAATTTGAAGAAATTCTACTGAGAAATGGTGACACAATCCTATTACCTTAATTGGTCTCTTAAAGATGTTTTCCCAAATCTGCCCTCCTCATTTTTTTTGGGGGGGGGGGTTGTACCCACAACAATGTGTCCAGTCCCACCCAACCTCAGTCTCCAATTACATGAACATCACCTCAAGATTCATCATCAAGACTCTCTACAGACATTTCTTAACAGATTTTAGACACATTTGTTAGGTAACGCAGGTGTCAAGGGGATCCAGCTTAGATTAATATAGAACTGTATATTCTACACTAGTGACATCTATCTTCTTACCACAGGTATATGGAAACTCATTCATTATAAACACTTTAAATTGACCACCATGCTTTGGAATAAAATGTATGATATTGTGTAATGTGTCGGAAAATATAGACAATGACAACATGAACACATGGAAAATGAAATAAATCACTTTGTCGTTGAACGGACAGAAAATAAACCAAAAACCCAGAGCAGATTTTCATGTGGAGTGTTTTAGTTAAAGTGGGGTATTGCTAACTGGAATAAAAGGGAAAATAAAGCTGAAATAGGGGAAAATAATGCCAAAGTTGGAGAGGGGAATTGACCCATATTGGGTCATTTGATTAAAAAGGCCTGTATATATCCGTGATTGTATGAATAAACTAAATAAAAATATTCTGATATACATTCTAACAAAGTCCTGCTTGCTAAAATTTGGCTTTCTGCGCTCTTCCCCGAAGTAAATGGATTCCTCTGTCCTACTTACTGTAGTTTTCCACACACTGCTGTAAACAAATATGACCGATGTTGAGGCATTGCATTCCTCCAGGTGCTGGCCGCCGGTTTGTGGGTTTCGCCGGGCACTTTGGTTTTCCTCCACCACCATAACTCGACACATTCTAACATGACCATAGCTGTTAATCAGATGTAATATACAAACAAACTAACAAACAAGGCCAAGGGGGACTTTCTTTAGTACAATTTTTTTATAGACTTTTCTAGTAAATTTTCTTTTTCTTCAGGTTTGAAGAAAGAATAGACCTTCTTTTTTTCCACTGCATGATGTTGCAACACATTGTTCCCCAACACAATGGGGGAGGATTTCTTCTGTGTCTATTTGCTTAAAGGGGATATTAAAGAAACTAAAATTAAATTGTTTCCCCCATTGCAGCACTTGGAGCTTTCTCTTTTCTTGCTTCCCTTCTGTGCAGCAGTGTCTCCCTATACATTTGTCTTCACATGACCTTCGCTGTTGCAAAGATGTTAAACACACATACAAATAATTCATTTTCTTAAACATTATTTCATTTAGGGCTGTTCAATAATTAATTTTATGCGGGAGTCAACTGTATCAATATATTATGGGTGGTGTGGTTAAAACCAAATCTGCCCAATATTCCTTATATTAAATCAGTTTTAAGATTTTATGGTTTGTGGGGTCTCGGAAAAAGTGGTTTAGTAGTGAACAATATACTCCTAAAACTAATACAAGTACATTTACTCCTATGATACATTTGTCTTAATATAGTGTGCCATGCAGAGTTGAATGCGGTGCTGAACAAGAACTCCACTGACGTCAAGGACTGTACAGTTTATGTGGCTCTGTTCCCTTGTAATGAGTGTGCCAAAGTTCTCATTCAGTCTCGGATAAAGGAGGTGGTGTACTACTCGGACAAATATCACCATAAAGTAGAGTTTGTGGCTTCTCGGAGGATGCTAGACATGGCTGGAATCAAACACAGGTAAGAAACTACAGAGAATACAGCTGGTTTCTTATATTGTTGTTGTTTCTTTGCAGAAAAAGATTGCAGTTGGATCCCTGTTCCACTGCCAAAAATGTATTAATGTATGACCCAATATGGGTCTCTCCTATTTTGGTATTATTTTTCCCTATTTCAGCTTTGTTGTCCCCTATTTCAGTTACAAACCCCCCACTTGTAACTTAAATACTACCACATGAATATTTGTTCTTTTTTGGGGGGGCGGGGGGGGGGGGGTTCACGCGCCACGAAGTGGAAGCAAGACTAAGGTGTTGCTTTTCCGGTGGTGGCGGCGGCGTCAATATTAAGTTTTTGAGTTTAAGTTTGTTTCTCTGAAAGAACAAGTGCTAGACCAACCAAACTTGGACCATAGATGCATCCTAGGTAGTAGTACATCTCAACCCATGAATCAAATGCTGGATGCGGCCTACCTTTCATGGTCCATTGACTCTGTCAGCATCTCCATCAATATTAAGTTTTTGCATTTAAGTTAGTTTCTCTGATGTTTGCATTGATGGTCAAAGCGGGGCACAGGCGAGACATATCAATCAGAATGGCTCGCTATTTTCTGTCTGTTCCACTATTGAGGCATTTTCCCTGTGTTAATGTTAATTGTCACTGCTAATATTTTACGACACTGTTTACAGCTATCGCTGTTTACATTATACAATATCATAACAGTCTCACAAATGCTTTATTCTAATGCATATCTGGTAGTCAATTCACCCCCCCACCCCCCCACACTGGCACTCTCCCCTGGCTCTTGCCTGCAGCCCTTGCTGAACAGGTCATGCACCTACAGCACATATTTTCCCCTATTTCAAAAAAGGGTACTAACTTTCTATTGCATGACATTTTTATATATCTTGACCTTTAACCTTGACCTTTGTTATCTTGCTTTAGTACTTTTGAATTGATAATATTAATAGCAGTATGGAGTTGTTGCTCATCAAATATTTTTGTATAGGAAATGTGTGACTTATTTAATAACAACTATCTATTCTATAATGCATCCAATTGTCTGAAATATCGATAATGCATCAAGATTTTATTTAAGAAAACAGCACATTGATCCAGAATTAAATGTGACAAGAAATCTCACCTTTTGAGTCTTTACTTTCATATTTTTCAGACAATATAGACCAAAGCAAAGTCAGATTGTTATAGACTTCACCTTGATTGACAAAATGAACAATGGGATCGACACATCCATCGAAGAACCCAAGGTTGTTCAAGACGGGCAGGTGACATCTGAAGTAGACGCAAAGTGATAGTCATTGGGAAGGAAAACACAGTGTGACGATAAGGATTTGTTGTGATGTACAAATATCAATTATGCTGTATGGGTCCTGACTAAAATTGTTATTTTAAGAGATATGTACAGGTTGTGAAGTTTTAACTAAGGCCAAACAAACATATTGGTTCCTGTCACAAGTCTGTTGAAAAAGATTTAAGCAGGTAGCTTGAAAATAAATCATATTTTAAATATTTTTATTAGGTTTATCTATGAGAGTGATGTGAACTTTAACATTGCTTCCTTAAAAAATAATACAAAAAAAGAAAGATTTAGGCAAGGCAAAATATATAAGCGTAGGTGTGATAACCTTGCTTCAAACTTCCAGAGATAATATGTAGCTCATCAGCTTAGAAGTAGCTCTTAGCATACTTTATTAGCTCAATGATATGTGAGTATCACAGCTTAATAGCTGTTATTTGCATAAAATGGATTTCAAATGATAATATTTTGATAAAGGAATGTGATATATTAAAGTACTAAAATAAAGTACTAATTTGTTTCAAAACCATACGTTAAAGACAAACTATGGTATGTAACGAAACTATCCAGTTCTCTTGAGGTTACTAAGTCAAGTTTCACTGTTGGTCAAGAATTCTAGCCTACATTGATCTGGATGAGTCCATTATGGTCTACTGTGGCGAAAGTGTTAAGTTATGGACTGGTTAGGACTAGCTTCATGTGTTCATTGTATGTTTTTTCTACACGTTTAGAGTGTCTACTCTTCATGGATATTGCCATTCTTAATACATGTACAAGGTAACTATGTGCTAAAAATGAGGTCAGTGCTTGAAAAGTACTGGAAAACAGGTTGATCCTGGAGAAGTGCTAGAATTTAATCAATATTCCTTGTAAAGTGCCGAAATATATGTACTAGAGACAATTAAATTAATATGTATTCTTTTCTATGGAGAACTGATTCAGAGTTGTATGTTGTTGTATGTTGACAATAAAATTATCATAAGAACTTAATCCAGTATTTTTTAAACTGTTGGGAATCATATTTTACTCTATTTACCAGCAACGGTTCAATAAAAAAGGAAAATCTTTATTAAAATCTTGAAACTTTATTTTCTTAAATTGCAAACAAGTGACGTGAAAGTGCTTTCTTCTGAAAAGTTAATGAACCATGTTAACCATGCCCTGATCATTTTTATAACCCCCACAGCGAAGTTAGGGATGTGTGTGTTATACTGGAATTGGTCTGTCCGTCTGTAGACGCATTCTCGTCTGTGCTACTCCTAGTTTTCAGCAGAATTTCATGAAAGCACACTGATGTAAACTACTCCCTCCGAACTGGTGCAATTAATATTCTAATCTGGCCAATTTTCATAATTGGTATGTGCCTTAATGTAAAAAGAAAACAGTGTTGCACCACTCCTCCCAAAGTACTACACTAATTTGAATAACCGATGGTACACTTAATCCTTATACCGAGGGGATGTTTGTAAAGTGTGTAAACTGGTGTTACCTCCCCTTATTATAGAGTTGAGCACCTTTGTTTTAAAACTATGTTAACCTTATTTCTCCAAAAGTACACCGTATATTTGAATGGTACTTGATACATACAACACCTTCATCGAGAGGATGTGGATAAAACCCTATTTATGGAGTTATAACATTTTGTTTAAAAAAAAGTCTTGAAAGAGCTATTCCTATTGTTCTTTAACACAATTTGGGGAATAAGTCTACGATTCTGGTTACGGGCTAGTTTTTTATCCTGAAAATACCTTGCATTTTTCTAATTTCAGTCTTTATTTTCCCAATTTGATTTAAAAGCATGTTTATACAAGTTACCAGTCGTAATATGTCCAACGTTCAAAGTATTATCGTCAATGGAAGAGCATTCAAAATACATAAATAGGGGAAATTTGAAATTGGATAAACAAAACACAGAAAATTGTTTTGTTTGTTTATTGAAAACCTTTTGCTAATCAAATTGCAGGTTTAATTTTTTCCAAACATGTGGGAAAACTGATGAAATTTCCCAACTTTTGCCAAATGCCGATGATATTTTCCCAAATTCCTGCTCAGGGACCCTTTCCCAAAATAGCTGTCAAAACCCCCCAGTCATTGTGGTTGTGTGGATGATGCCTTGCAAATGATTGATCATGCACAGTTCAAACTTTGTTGGTGGGTTGCCCTAGTGGATGCGAAAAACATTATTATTTTTTTTGCTTGGTCTGTCGGGGGGTCAAGATCACCATTGCTAAAAGTAAAATTTGTATTTGGAACAAATGATCATGAAAACTTCGAAATCGGTGTGTGGGTTGCCCTAGGGCTTGCAGAGACTCCTTTTGATTTTGGATGTGGTTTGCCAGAGGTCAAGATCACTGTTGCTAAAACGAATTTTGCTTCATTGTGTTTTTCTCGATAATAACATTAGAATGAATTACCATACAAAGTTCAAACTTGGTGTAGCCCAATCATACACCAGTATCCTTTAGTGAAGTTTTTAAATGGATGATGATTGTACAATGGCTGCATTTTAATAGGCAAAGAATGGGAAGTTTCTCCAGAAAGAGCTGTTGTTGTCTCTGGCGGCCCAGTCGTAAAAATGCATGCCCATTGAAGTGTGCTCTTGCCCAATATGTGGAATGTCAGACATAAGCAACCCATTAACGCCTCTTCAACTATGTTTCAGAGACATCAAAGTAATTGCATCTTACAGTAGTTTTAATAAACAAACAAAACAAAAATCACGTCTTGTAACCTTTCTTTAAGCATTGAACCAGGTACATCACATTTGACGTCACACTTTCGGAGCTTATTCGTATTCGGGCTAATTAATATAAATATCACATGTTTATACGCTCAAGTTGACCTTTAATTCTCAAAAACTCAATTAAGTTATGCTGAATGAACTGTATTCATTTCTGTTTTTCCTCGTCTAATTGCAAATCATAATACCGGTCTTGTAATGCTTGTACAACATAAGAGAAAAAAGTCGTTTTTGCACTGAAGTACAAAAAAAAACACATAATGGCAAAAACGTTTATGACGTTATGTGCTTTTTGTACATAAGTGCAAAAGATGTACATGTAAGTGAAACAATTTTGCCATTAAGTCCAGTTTTATTTTCATTTTAGCGCAAACCTTTTTTTACACAGGTCGGCTGTTTTAGGATAAACTACCAAAACTACCTAAGTGAAAAAGATTTACACGTAAGTGAAAATGTTTTTTCCATTAAGTCCAGNTGAGGGGAGGGGGTGGGGGTGGGGGTGGGGGGGTGGAGATTGAGAAATAAAGAAGCTATATAGATGTGTCGGATAGGACGTTATCTTGCAATTTCCTATATTGATGTTACACAGCAATATTTAAGGTCAAAATCATGTCAATTTTACCTGATGAAAAAAAATAGTTTTATGTCAAAACTTAACCTGAATTTGACATGAAAAATTCTTGAAGTCGACTTTTTGCTATCATGGTGATTGATTCAGGTCAAATTGAGATCAAGAAAGTTTGCCCGTGTAGATGCCCCGCCAACAAACTAAAGTCATAGAGGCGAAAATGGCGAAACATTTTTTTTCTCATACAAAACCTGATAAGGAAATTTCAGTTAGCTATCATTTTCGTAACATTCACAGACTTTATAAAAGAACAGGAACTTACGTAATGATAAGTATTATTAATTACCGTGAAATTTATAGAATGAGCTGATCTTGATCGAAGCAACAATTCAAACGACATTAAACGCAGATTACTGGGATAAAATAGACATTCGGCCACTTTATATGATGATAAGTGGAAATATTAATGTAAAAAATGCTATATTTAACTTCTAACCGCGGTTAATGTAAATTTCTTGCATAGAATATTCCTAAGATGTATTCAATGAACGAACGAGGGTAACTGAGAATTCTGTCCCTGCTGCTATTGATACCCAGGTGAAAATCATACCTGCGCAATTTCCGTGCATATAGGAGGTTACTAACAGAAAAATGTATCCATCTTTCCAAAGATACCAAGCATCTTTTCGCACGACCACTAGCAAAGGATTTTTGATGCGCGAAAGCTAGATGGAGCCGACTTTTCAGCATGGTGAGTTTTCCTCCCTTTTCGTCCATACATATATATACCATCATTGAGGGTGGTATTTTTACCTAAAGTTGTTCTAAGCCCCTAAAACCTGTAATATTACTCTTGACACTCCAGTTTAGTTCCAAATATAGCTGTTACATATTATTAGGTCCTTGTGATGTGAACAACTGTGCAAGTAGCTGGAAACATATAGAAGGGGTAAAAAGGGAGCTATGAACTGTTAAAGGAGAAGCTAAAAATACGCAAGATATTAATAAGTCAGTAAATGAATTCGAAAATATACGAAAGTCACCTCCACTTTATGAAAATCTTTTACATCACGCGATTGATGAGGTGGAGTTTCTTGGAACCCTTTACTCCTCTAGAAAATGTTTTTTTTTTAAAATACAGAAAATATTCTTAGAGTCATTAAATATCAACATTTTCTATTGAATAGAAAAAAAAGAAGAAAAAAAACCCGGTTGAAATGATATGATACTCGAGACGATAAAAAAATTAGCACCTTCTCCAAAACGTCATATAATATACTTGTCACAAGGCAATAGAAACGAATACTATACAGTCTTCGTAAATACCAACTGATGTAAAGCGAGACTTCGGGGATATGATACGTATAATGACATGATTATTACATCATACATTGTTATGACTATATGGTGACATTGTCCGTAAATATGATGTACAATATCACAATAGCACACCCATCGTGTAAATAAAAAGATTTAAAAAGTCGATCACATACAACGTGGCCACAATGAATTCTTTGCAATAGCGACGATATCAATCACATGGAACAGATGTTTCTTTATACGGCCTTTTAAATTTCAAACAATCACATAGCATTATAATTGACCCGTAATCAATTGACTCCAAAATACACAATGTAAACTCCTGAACATGATTCTGTTTAAGAAACAATTGATTGAGCATCATCAATCCAACCATTGCACTTTCTTTTGAAATTGTGAAGAAACTAACCTAACATACTTTCTTTTAATATTTTAACTTCCGACGACAGGAAGAACTTGACGAACTACTCACACTATTAAACACTATAGATATACAAATATAACAATAACCTGTCAGCTAAGAAAGCATGCAAGTAATTTAATTTATTATCTTTATAATGACACAGAGGCCTGCAGACGTAGTCATGACACCACTATATGTTTGACTATTCATGATACAACAAAGCATAGCAGATGATACGAATACGTACTTAAAAGAAATTCGAGCTTTTTGACCGCAAAAGCTCAAAACGCAAACTAGTGTAAGAGGTAGTGTTTTCAAAGGTTTGTGAAGTTTCCTGACGATCGGAAACATGAAGTTTGTAGAGCAAATTCTATCAAACTCTATTTATAGTAACAGTGACCTCGTTTTTGACTGCAGATGGTGGAAATGCGAAATTGAACAAGTGACGTCAAACATTTAATCTATTCTCATAAGGTTAATGTGACCTAGTTTTTGATACTATAAAAATAACTTTGAAAGTTTAAATGACTTAAGCAGGTATTAATTAACCAATTACAATATGATAGCTTAATGTTGTATAAACATTACTAATGAAGATCTATTAATCAACTATCATTTTTGAAAATTGTCCCCATATATGATATCTTCTTAACATTGATGCCCATACATGTGTTTACACAAATTTATGATTGCTTTATCGGAAATTAAACTGTAATTCAGTTTGACTTTATAAATGTCACGGAAATAAGATTTGTTGACATGTTCTTTTATGTGTTTTATATATGCCTTTTTATTTGACTTTATATGTACATGTATGTATATATATATATATAGAAATACGTAGAAAGCATATGACACAGGAAACATTGGCGAAAGCCTGGTAACCCTGTCTTCATGTTGTTGGTTTTTTATGTAAACACAGGACAGTCACACATGCTTAAAACATTCGAAAGCCTTTGATTGCCTACTCTGCTGCAATTACTTTCTTCTATTTTTAGTAATTCGTATCCTACAAAGAGACATACATAGGTAAAAACTCTTTGGTTTGTGACGATAAACCAATACATTTTACTGTAAGTTATTTTTATCCATAGTGTTTTTTAGCACATCGAGCGTGCTTCCTTGTTGCTGTAGTTAACTCACTAAGCCGCTTAACTCACCAGTTATCAATCAATATCCCGTGTTTATAACAGTGAGAATTGTGTTGTTTTTATGACTGTCTGATTGTGTTTGATTTAGTATTCATTTCCTAAAAAAAAATCTAAAAAAATCTAAAACAGACATGATGGGAATTCACATTCCGTTGTTAAAACTAAGCTAACCAGGCTTTGATTTGTTTGTGCGTTGGCTTATGTTCTTTGTGTGTAGTGAGTGGTATGTGTACACGCGTACATTGCAGTGTCTGTGGACATGCTTTCAGTTGTAACGTGTTATTTACTACACGTTTTATCTGTTTATAACTTCGGTATATGACATCTGAAGGAGTTATAATGCAGTGTTGACGTCTAACAATGGATACCCGCGCTTTTAACGGGACTAAAACAGGTAGGGTATGATAACACATGGTTAAATTCTTACTAAAGCATGTAAGACCAATTTATGTAAGGTAATGCTACTGCATATTTGTAGTCTCTCCCAAAATCAACGTTTTTTTTATAAGTTATGGTACCGCAGCGGTGGATAAAGAAGTGTTTTTGTGATGCAGAGGAACCCAAATGTCCTTGGAATTGTCTGTACTAACCATGTATTTACCCCATTTTGCCAATGTAGAACAGTCACTCCTATCTCGATAGACCCCTTGGTCCGCCGCTGTACCTCTGAATACATTTATAAACATGTTAACGGCTGGGTTATGGTTTTGTTGTATGGTTTGGTGTACCAGAAATAAACCGGAAGTACTGACAAATGCAAGCTGGTACACCAATCGATAATGACCAACAGTCATTCTTGCATTATACTAACATCTTGAGATAACAGTGATATCCAAAAGTACTCAATACCAATCCATCGATATAGAACATATGCAAATTGTTCACACACATGTCTGTGAATACTGATTGAGGTTGTTTGTTACAAACCTCGCGTCTGACCTATTGTGGTTATATATGTGGCGACAGGTATGGGTCTTTATTCAGGCATGACCATACGCCAGTTATCTTTTGAACGTTTTACCTGCGTGCACATATATAAGCTTTTCTATTTCGCATTACTGCCGGGGGAGACTCATTCGCCAATTTAAATTTCTTCGTATATTAATTTCATACTAGATTCGTATTACCAAAATTGATGTAGCATATTCACAAACGCAATTTTTTTCTAACAAATATAATCTGCTAGGCACATTGTTTAAAAGATGCTTTACATTTGATCAATAAGGAATGCATGCGTACTCCCACTGTAACACGCGTAATTCGTTGAACTGGATATGAAATACTTTTTAATAATCAAAATTATAGTTTGATAAAACATGTGTTTCATGCATTTGTCAGGTGAACAAACTATGCAATGTAAAGTAGTCACCAGAAATACGCTGTTAAAAAGCACATATTAAAATTAATAATAATAATAATAATTCGAGGTTCTTATATACCGCTTTATCACAACCTAGTTTGTAGGTCGTCTCAAAGCGGTCACAAATTATTATCCGTGGTTATAGGGCCTTTGCAACCAGCCAATATCTTTCTCAGCTCCCTGGGGAGCATACAGCCGGTGCTGCCATGTCGGCGCTCACAGCTAGCATTCTACAATTATAGCACTGCCCAACCACGTACAAATCCATGCTAAAAGTTTTCAGTGTTTCGAAAAATATGTAGAAATATAGACAATGTAAAAAGATGCCTATACAACCCTTAAAAACGTTACTAATTTACATTTTTTTTGGTAAATAATTTACATAATTTATTCTTTAACTATGATTTCCTGTACTAAGTAACGGTAGACATGGGATCCGTTAATCCGCCTAGTCAACCACCTTGTAACGTAAAATAGTCATTGGGAATACAAATGAAGAAAAAACCCATTTATAAACAAATCTTTGGAGAAAGCCAAAATAAATATTTTTGCTAAACCTTATAACCGAAATGAATAACTATTAGACATGTGATTTAGTATTTAGTATTTAGTATCTTGAGCTTATTGTGTTCATTTCTGTTATAGGGAATAGTTAGTGATTCTTACTGATATGACATTATATAGGGCGGTTATGTTTCAATGATTTACTGGGTTTCAGAAAACGACATTTATACCGGCATTGGAAAAGTCCAAATTCCTAAATAGGAAAAAGAAGAAGTTAGAAAATGTTTAGGGAAATGTACGGTATTAAATAGTCAAAAATTAAGAATTGTTATTTTTTTCAAAAATAACACAGCATCCTTATTGCCGCCTGTGGCACGTGTTGGTCTTTCCATCTTAATTCATTTACAATTATATATCCCGTCCTATAATGCTCCGATATGCGGCTCTTTTGTTCTTGATTGTGTGTTGACTCTGTTGAATACCCTGCTTGTAAATCGTATGTTGTAATCTTGAAATGTTATAAAAGGGTTTAACAAGAGGTACTTTTCGCCTTCAGTTTTATTTCTGCATGAGTTTTGAACCCCACGTTTGACATTGATTTTCATTGTTTTGATCTTTAGTACCACGGACGAGTCATAATGGACAAAAATACCATATGGCCGGTAGAATGTTTTCATTGTTTGGTGGTCTGCATCGACAAGCTAACTTTTAAATAGTTGCTTGCGAAATTGTTTTCTCAAACGGGTAACACGAAGTATAAGCTAAAACATAATATATCTGTGAATCTACATGTTGTAAATTTGTAATATCTAAAAAAAAAATATAAGTTTGAATTTTAGTACCGCTGGTGAATCCTACCGGTAATTGAACGATATGGTTATGAGGTGCAGTGTAGGGTTTAACTGTACCAAATGTCTAATTAGGATTCATTAGTAATTCTAAATAAAGAATTAAGCAATAGGCCCTTTCATTTTAACTACGTATTTGACGTCACTCCGTATTGTAACGTCATTTACATTGACATGACCATTTAGGTTTTGCCAACAATTTACAGTCCAGCAGTTTATGGTTCCCAGAAGAATTTACATAAGTGTAAAATCCAGTGAACAAGATAAATACACTTAATAGAAAAGCATGAACGCAACGATTCAACGCATTGAGACCCACCTGATGAATAGTGTAATCGTGCATTCTGAGTTTGTAGAATATATCAATTTTATGCACCAAGATATGAACGATTCGGGAATGTGTGTGAACAACAAAATCAGAGAACGACCCATAGTTTTAAACCTTAATACCTCTGATCAATCCTAAATGAACGGATATGGTTATGTGGTGTTTTCTTTGTTTGTGGTTTATTTTGTTTATGTACGATGTGGTTTGATTATCTATGTGGAGGCTCTGGTAAAACATCTATATATTTTCTCTACTGTATATGCTCTTTAAGGTCACAGGAGTGTATTGCTAAACGGAAATAGGAAGTGCATCCCTTGTTGAAAATCCAATGTAGTATCACAATTTCCGCATATTCTAATGTGTAATTTTAAACTGATGAATATTGTATGTTTATTATTGACAGAACAGTGTGTTCTTTCAATATTAAAGTATTTTACAGCAAACCAGTTGTTTTTTAGTTAATGAGTCACATGTGTCCATTGTTCTGTACTTCAGGAGACCGGCTACCTATTTCACTACTGTGAAGTTTTGCAAGAACGATAACTCTTACATACAATTACTATGTGTATATGGTTTTATTATAAAATGTCAATTTTTAATCGGTTATAGATAATTAATTTTACACAATTTCAGCATTTATGAAATTGATATACATTAATGCAATACTAATCTATGTCAGTATCATTTTTATTCACATGTTTTTGCAAAACATTGTGTGTTTTATTTTGTAATTTTTTTAAATTCACTCCTTTTTTACATAAATTTCCATTTAAAATCCTTAAAATTCTGACAACCTATATTTTTTTGTGGCAGAAAATGTTCTTTACTTCAAAGCAATATAACTACAAAATTTGAAGAAATTCTACTGAGAAATGGCAACACAATCCTATTACCTTAAGTAATATTACAAATAGTATGAGGGTATCACGAAAATATCTGTAAAGATCGCGTTTCTTGTTTAAAGTGGGATATTATTATTTCTAACCTCACAAACCCAAATATTTGTTAAATAAAGTCAGTTATGAAAATAACAAACAACAAACCGGCATATTTTGTCGGCATACGATTAAAGATAAAAGATTCATGAAGGCAGCTCTGCCTCTTTTATTGTCTCCCTGGATCTTATCTATTTTCTTAAATCGTGTCATTTTGCTCTCTGAATTAACCCTAATGTGTTAACTATTTTGTACTAGTGTATTTTTGCTGGCTATTTTGATAATAACAATTCAACCCTGCTGTGTTTCAGATGACTCTCCACATCATAAGCTATCCGATAAGAGGGGCTGGTACATCAACTGGGATGAATATTTTATGGCAATAGCCCTCGTGTCGGCTCAAAGGAGCAAAGACCCTGTCACACAGGTAATTATTGGAAATAAGGGCCCATCTCAAGACCCGACCACACAGGTAATCATTGGAAATAAGGGCCCATATCAAGACCCGACCGCACAGGTAATCATTGGAAATAAGGGCCAATATCAAGACCCGATCACACAGGTAAACCTTGAAAATACGGACCCATAACAAAATCTGATCACACAGGTAAATATTGAAAATACAGACCCATAACAAGACCCGGTTGCGCAGGTAAACATTGGAAATACGGACCCTAAAAAGACCCGATCACACAGGTACACATTGGAAATACGGACCCTTAAAAAGACCCGATCATACAGGTAAACATTTGAAATATGGACAAATAACAACACCCAGTCATACAAGTAAACATTGGAAATAAGGACGAATGTATATCTGGACTTTGTCGTAGGTTCGACACATCGAGAAATTGGAATCTTCGAAGTTAGATTTATACAGATTTGACTGTACACGATTGCTGCCAGGCATATAACTCACCTTTAGCTTCAAGATACTTGATCAGAAGAAATTGTGACAGCAATAATCAGAAATCTCTCTTGGCCTATTGTTACACATTAATTATTATACTTTTAAGTAGGTCAAACAACAATCTCATTGTGAAAGGGCGATGTCAAACATAGCAGTGTACAGTTTAGTAAAGTAGCTGTCCACCACTGGGTCGCGGGTTTGAGGCCTACGTGGGGCAGTCGCCAGGTACTGTCCGCAGGTTGGTGGTGTTTCTCCGTGTACACCGGTTTCCTCCATCACCAAAACCTAAAACGACCATACCTGTAAAACACAAACAAAAGAATTCATTTTTATTACAGGTAGGAGCTTGTATCGTGAACAAAGATAATCGTATTGTAGGCGTCGGTTACAACGGCATGCCTAACGGATGTAGTGATGATGATCTACCGTGGGGCAAAAGTTCAACAAATATTCTGGAAACAAAAAAGTTTTATGGTAAGTAGGAATTTGTTCAACTCTAATGATCATAATTAAGAATGTTTGAAAGAAAAAATAACTGAAAAAAACCTCAAATATTTCTTAGAACAATTATTTGATATTTGTTTAAGTAAGTTCCTCTCTATATAGATACAATTGAAGAGAAGTTATCATGACATCGATTTAGAAAACCGATATCATTACTAGTACATATCTGAACAGTAACTACGTCGATCAATGCTTGTTGTCCCCAGCGGGAGCGGGCGTTATTACATATTTTGCTATATTACACTCAATAAAATTACTCGCTGAGTGAATATATTTTTAAATAAGCCTAACCCTCTTTTCCACAATATACATGTCAGTTTTCAGTAACCTTAATAGTTTAAATGATCCACACCTGTATGGCTGATGCATGGCGTTGTATTGATTCCTAGTATGTCATGCCGAGATGAACGCCATAATGAACAAAATTTCATCGAATATCGAAGGATGCACGATATTTGTGAGTCTGTTTCCTTGCAACGAGTGTACAAAGATTATTATACAGTCCGGAATAAAGTCTGTGGTTTATTACGACGACAAAAATATCCACAAAGCTGAGGCAAAGGCATCGCAAGTGATGCTGAAAAAGGCAAACATCCACATAAGGTATTACATGAATTTCAGTGTAGAATGTTGAGCCCTAGACTCACCTTTTTTCTGCATGAAGAAACCATACTATTGTATAGCTGTTAATATTTACGAAGGTTATGTTTTCGCTAATATCGCGAATGCTTCGAAATTCGTGAAACTTTGTTCCTCGTGAAATTTTCAGATCATGGTCAGAACATCTACGTTTCACACGTCCGCAGTGCCATTTCAGTTGAGGCTGCTAGGTGTAAGTGTAAATTAATGTCAAAACACAAAATAATTCCCCATGATATTACGTGAAACGAAGAAACATGTGAAAATATTTGATGTGGAATTCCAAACTTTTCCCATATTTTAACTATCATGACTTACTGCATTATGCATACATTGCCCTTTCTGTAGGGAAACAAGTAATAATAATAGATGTATATTTCACTGAGGCATTGAGTCACCATTGAATATGGTTATTTCCTACTTCACGCATACACCTTCACCAGCCACAGAAATTCGACCACCGGGTTATCTTGATTGCAAAACACTCAGATGTGTTCACTATGCTACCTAACATGATACTGTTATTTCAGTTATTTTCTGCAACATTACTGAGAAAAGTTTCAACCGTCTTTGTATAGACATAGAGAAAATAAAATACGTTATAACTTCTCAATGACTATAAACAGTAGAAAAGTGGTGGGAACCTCTACCTACGGTAAATTATTTCCGGTATTAGGGATTCGATGTAAAAAAAGAATTTGAGAATAAGTTTTGATAACGTGTATTTTGCTTGTTGTAAAATAAAACACATCTTTGTAATTATAATAGAAATATAGACGTTCCCTAACGAGTGATTGTTGGTTATTATGCTTATCTTCCTCGAGTTACATAAATTGTATAAAGACACGAGGTTTACCTAAACTGACAAGAGTATGATAAACATGATAATCAGCCATCACGAGTTTGGAGTCCTTTTCCTCCCACAACATTAGGTATCATATCTATATCTAAACAACTGCATGTGTCTCTTTGGAATATATAATGCTTGTGTTCCTATCGGGAAAACGGTTGCCATGAACTATGACGTCACAATGGTAAATGACGTCGCAAAGCATTGCTATTTGACGTCATGATTAGAGTACTGACCAACAAAATAACGTCCACGGTGTTACCCACTAGTGGGTAATCAAAAATGTTTACCAACTCCTAGCAGTTTTATCCAATATGTCCGGGGAATTGTGTAACATATAAGGGCTGTGGTAGAAAAGTATGTGGTAATGATCGTATGTCATTCTTTACTCCCCAGGAAATACCAACAGCATGGAACGCCGCTGGTGTTAGGCCGACTGAAGTGCAAGCTATGACTCAAATAGTCAACTAGATTGACCTAACATTTATATCTTATTATATTTTATTTAAAAATTACATGTACTTAATTTGAATAAATTATTATTTTTTCTTTTACAAAATATTTGTTTTATTCACTAATTTTTTCAGTCCGGTATACATGAACAGTTTTGCCATTGTTAGATTATCACTCGCCTAACCAAAACAGATCCTCGCAACCAATGCATGTTCATTCGCTGAGTTTAAGAACAAGAGGCCCAAAGGGCCTGCATCGCTCACCTGTTATTAATCTAACACTTGTAATCTTAAGATTTCATAAGAACCTATTAAAAGATTTAAACATATGACGCCTCTGACCTTGATTGTCGAACAAGGACATTAGGTTGAAAGTGGATCAAGGTCATTCATTTGAACTAACTTGGTAATCCTTCATCCCAGCATGCTACAGGCCCAATTTCAGTACCCTGGCCCTTTTGCTTATTGAAAAGAAGTCGCTTGAAGATTTTACGACATTTGACCCCTGTGACCTTGAAAGTTGGTCAAGGTCATTCAGTTGAACAAACTTGATAGTCCTTCATCCCAGCATGCTACAGGCCCAATATCAGTACCCTGGGCCTTTTGGTTATTGAGAAGAAGTTGTTTGAAGATTTTAAGACATCTGACCCCAGTGACCTTGAAAGTGGGTCAATGTCATTCATTTAAACAAACTTGGTAGCCCTTCATCCCAGCATGCTACAGGCCCAATATCAGTACCCTGGGCCTTTTGGTTATTGAGAAGAAGTCGTTTGAAGATTTTATGACATTTGACCCCTTTGACCTTTGAAAGTTGGTCAAGGTCATTCATTTGAAC